ACTCCTTAATCTAAACTAAACCCATATTGATTACATATTGATTTCTTGCTAATACCATCGTGAAAAAATCTGAAAGATTGTTGATCAGTTTGTCAATTAGTAAATAATTAAAAGAAATTGTTACAAAAAGACCGAACTCGAAGATTCAATCTATCAGCCAGTAACTCGGTCAGACCGTGCAAAGTACAGTATGTGGTCCTTGGTCCGCGTGTAAAAGTCATTAACTTGAATATCTTACCCGAATCTTCATGTAACGAGCTGAAATACTCCGTGAAGATAGCTTTTATGTTCCTGTCGATAATCCTGAAGTTTCGAGTTCCAGACATAAATATTTTGCGTGGAATTCGCAAAAAGGCGAACGTTTTCGATGGTCCTTGGTCCGCGTCTCAGGTAAGCAACACGATAAAAACGTAAAAATGTTATAGTTTCTACTCGAAAACGTGATTTTCACAGTATTTCTTGTATTTTTTTTCTTTTCTTGATGCAATTAAGCTAAAGACTTCAGACAACAGTCACCTCGAGTCTCCCACACGAGCGTCGACGAGCGGTTTTTTTTTTTTTCGAAAACAAAGGCCGTCGCTTTTTACTGTGGGAAGTTTTATTCAACCAAGGTCATAGGCAGCGGACCAAGGACCGCTAAGCGAAATTTGGTGATATTTTTCAAGAGTCGCTAAAACAAAAAATTCAGAGTCTACAGCAATATGCTTCCAACAGCAGAAATAAGTTGATCTGAAAACCTGTTCTGCAAAAAGGCAAGTCTTCCCGTTGCGTTTTAGTTATTCGCAGCCTAAGTAAACATGACCATGTCATTTACGTTGCCGCAAAAATCCAAACTTCAAGAAAGACAATTTAACCTACCGGTCAACAAACTTTAATTTCGCGTCCTCACCCTCAGCAAGAAAGCTGAAACTTCGTCATATGAAAGAATGCTAATCAGTAAATCACGATAACTTTCATTATTCAACATATTTTTTTTCTTGACGAAATATTTTTTCATTTTCGGAAAAGACGCGGACCAAGGACCACATACTGTACTAGTCAACCTACTCATCAACGACTCAGTCTGTCAGAAGCTCTTCTACTCCATCACTTTCAAAGACGTTCTTCTATCATTCTTTCCGTATTACATGAACTGGGCTGGCTCGGTTTGAAGATATGACTAGCTATGCCGAAGTGACTTTTATCCCGGTATTACATAAAGCGAACCAAACCGAAGCCCCAATATTTACAGATGGATTAGAAGCAGTGCGCATGAGCATAGTGTTACTCTCTGTTAAGTGGATTTTCCGAGTTGGCCAGCGAGCGTAATAAAGCCTGGTTAGCCAGTATTACTGGGATCCCAGCTAAACTGGACCCTGTTGTCATCAATAACCACGAAGTTGATATTTTTTATGTTAACGTGCTGAGATTTAGACAAAGCAAGCCAAATCTAGTCACAGCGAGGAACTCTAAAAACAAGTTTTTTTTTTCCCCCTTAGACTGCCAATAAGGTGGACATTCCATCACTAAACATAGCTGTTCCAAATTTCCGGTTGTTCCCAATCCCTCTCGTCACCACTGTCGAGCTGACTGAGGTCGTCTACATCAGAATCGTGACCCTCATCATAGAAAGGGTGCAACTCGTCATTTGCAAGGGAGGGTTCACTATCAGCACGCCTCACATGGCGTACAATAACTGTGTGTAAGTGACTCGCCTCTGCTGACACTGAACTGCGGAATCCTGAGTTATTAGCTCCAAGATGACTCTCATCAGTCTTGTCTGCGTTTAATCTGAAATTAAACGCGCAGTTTTCATCATGAGCATGCCGCATATTTATAGTTTGCATTCGCCGGTGCAAATCCAAGACGATTTTTTTAACTTACTGTAATTAAGTACAAAACCACGAATTTTGTAAATGATACAAAATTCAAGCAAAAGATTCTGATAGTAATACACCATAAAGGTAAGATAAAAAATAGAAGGATATACAAATATTTGTCTATTTCAGAATCCAAGTTCTAACAGAAATTTTGTACCTTTAAAACGCAGAATTATTCTTTGCAGACCAATCGCAAACCTTATTATCGTGATCAAGGGAGGTCAGTGCCGATAGCTTAAATTTTTGTTATAAGGAGTTCCATGAAATCTAGAGCAAAAGGTATAAGCACCTTTTTACGTGATGCAAGTTTTTAAGAACTTTGAATAGATGCTGTCTTTAGTCCCGATAAGCTTAAATACAAAGTTCGACACCTACTTGTAAGACATCAATTCTCGGAGATTGAAGTGATGGTTGTCTGTTCCTCGCACACCACTGTCCTTGTAAACCCTAATGCTTGCGTGCTCATGGCCATGCTCAAGATCAATTCCTCCATGTATCTTCTCAGTATACATATATTTCATAAGAAAACGTAGATCATACTCAGTGCTATCCGCTTCACCAGCTCCCACAGAGTAGGATCTCATTGTCCCATGGCTTCCAGGTACAGTTTTTGGAACAGGCTTCTCGGGTGTTGTCCCATCCACGGCATCACTTCTACATTTCTTGCACAGCAGGTATAGACCCAATACTAGCAGTAATAACAGAACAAGGAGAAGAACAGCCAACACGGCGGGCCAATTCCACTGTGGTGGTTTTTGAGTGGGACGTATTCCCCCTAAAAAAAAGATTGGGATTGAACTGCTTTTAAAATTAAACAGAATTAACCCCTAGGATGGTCTTCATTTTGCCGTTTTTAGTCATTTGTTAGCCTGAATTTCATCCGATTACTTCGAGTCGTTATTACTCCCTCAGTAACGTCTGAATCGACCAGCCGTTAATGCCGTCCAGTGACGTCACTACTCCTTGACCTTGCTTTAATTCATGCAAAAAGTACAACATGATTTTCAAGTGGCAAACCGAGGAATATCGTTTGGAAATGTCTGCATGATACAGAATTGGTTTATTTTTTTCGATTGTAATTCATGTTTAACGTTCAAACTATCAACTGCATGCAGTACAACTCTGAACCGGTTGTACTAAATTCTATAATCAAACTCGGTCGCAATCACGCAATGAAATAAACACACACACGGAACACTTAGTTCAAAAACACAATGATTTGCTTTAATTGAAAAGAAGCTATTTGGTCCTTAACGAAGAAAAAAAAACAAGGAGACAAGAAAGAAAAGCTAACAGAATCATTACACTTGACGGTAAAAATAGCAAGAAGGTCGAATTATAACATTGATCTCAGAAAACTTCGCGTAAACAAAATCACCGGCCGCCGAAACCACAAAGCGGCTCTAAATGAAAAACCTACCGACTCTCCGCAATGATTCTTCATTCGCAGTTCAATTTAGCATTTCCGTTTCGAAGACAAGGGCAATTTTGCTGTTTAGGATAAAGATTAAGCTTATAGAAAAGTTTGAACTAACCGAAAGAATGCCAGGGATGCGATCCGCTGAGTATCAAATAACAATCCCGCTAAAATTTTTCATAATTATACATAATTATGCGAATGTTTAGACAATCAACCAATCAAAATCACTACCCGATTTTCGGGTAGTGAGTGACGTCACTGGACGGCATTAACGGCCGGTCGATTCAGACGTTGTTGAGAGGAGAAAACGACTCGAAGCAATCGGATGAATTTCAGGCTAGTCATTTGTATGGTTGGTAAGAGTCTAGGACATGGTAAATTGTTGTCGACTGTATTTTTTTTTTTACCGAAAACAACGCGCGTATTAAAAAACAAAACAATTTACGCCACCGTCACATCATTTCCACGGTGTATACCTTCATCCACCATAGCTCTCGACCTATCAGCACCCGAGAAATTGTTCAGGTATATTGTAATTCCAACTTGATCTGAGACGCACCAACATTTTTAAGCAAATTTTTAAATTTTAATGTTTCTGAGTTTAAGAAAGCATGTGTTTTATAGGTGTTTTATAACATCTTTCACTAGACTGACGGTCTGCGCATCTTCGCTGTGATGCAAATTAATGATATTTATAACGCCGTCTGGTTTGCTTATTGAGAAGTAGGTCTAATAAGGGGCTTTTGAAAAGAAAATGAAATGCGTTAAATTAAAATGGCGATAAATAATTTCTTAGTATGTTAGTCTGGATGGGTAAAAACTAACCTGTTCCTTGCCCTAAACCATCTATTTGACATCGGAGACCTTTCCATTTGCCGGTGCACTTACACATTTTCCAAGATTTCGTGGTATTGGGTTCAGTGATGGTGATGTTCTTAAGCTGACAAGTACCGTTATTAGCGCATTCTCCCGCTTCACATGGACAACCAGAGAAAACGTTTTGGCGTCTGACGTTTACTTTCGTTGGGTCTTTCAAGTCTAAATCAACTCCGTTAAGTCGATTTTGTGCTATACAACCTAAAGGGTAAAGAACTATTATTAAAACTGGGGCTGTTTCTATCGCCTTACGAGCTGGCTGTGGTCGTTATCAAGTAACGCTTTGAGGAGCATACCCTGGAGAATGAGAGAGATAATTACTATTCTCTGAATTCTAATTAGTTTAATTCCTAAATGATGCGTTTTTGCTTAAGACTCCCCCCAAAAATACAATGGATCGAAAAGCTGTACAAGGAAGAGTCAAGTATAGCTGGACTTTGCCCTTGCTCCCCAAATAGCCTCCGTGGAGGGAGCGTCTGCCCGATTTGGGGCCCATCATAGGTTCCAATCCTGTTTGGTACAAAAGATTGTTATTCGCCGCACTTTCCTGACATGACGATATTGCATCTTCCTTAGAGCCAAGACTTTACCTATTTCAGTTCAGGCTGTCGCTACAAAACCCCTTCATGCGTCCTTAATTTTGAATGAAAATTATCATAATTTATATCTTATCACAAGGCTAACTCATTCTCAGTGCGACCTGTATTGAATTAAAAGTGAATGCTAAACAGGTGAGAAAATAACTTCTAAAGTCCCTGGCGGGACAATATCAACAAACAGTTGATTTACTATATCTTTCTCCCTTAATAAAAGTGATTAAGTACAGTTTCAAAGTTTAGTTTAATCTAACCTTCATATGATTCATCGACAGTCTCTTGCGTTGTCCTGTTTCCTGACTCACGAAAAGGAATGCTTAAACCATAACCACCAACAATTTTCAAATCCCCCCCGGCAACAACAGCATTTCCACCAGAAGCCACAGCACTGCCAGTGATGGTTCTAGTGCTCTCTTCATTGTCATTAGCTCCTGAATAAACTTGGTGCCTTCTCCGTATTACTTGTTGTACACCTTGTAGACTGTTGTTGCTGAGTTGCACTTGTGTAACACTAACGCCTGCACTCCCGATGACTATTTTATTGGAGCTCGCATTAAATAAGGATCGAATAGTGTGCTTTTGGTACATCTTGATTAGAGTTGCGTTCTTGATCTTCTGAACGTGCACTGACCCTTTATTGTTTATGGTTATCAAGTTTACCCCAGAAAAAGATGAGTCCGAAAACGCAGAATAGGTTGATATGAGGCTTCCACTAGCTGTCTGCACAATGGCTTTTCCGCGGCATTTTACAATAGCTTGCATTACCTTCAGTGCTGTTATTCTCCTCAATCCACCTAAAAAATATATATTTGTAATGATATCAGTATTAATTTTGACCTTTTTCGGCATCTAAGCTCTTCAAAGTAGATTGAATAGTCAGTGGAGTTAATCACAGGCGGTGTAGTGAGACCGAAAATATTTTAACATCTTCACGGGGCATTTGTGTGCATTGCTTTGTGACCACAAAGAGGATTAAAGCTTTCAAAGGCTATTAGTGAGCTTAGTTCAGGCGCGTTTTGTAACAGTTTCCCTTAATATGCTTTGGCACTATGTCAGTTCACTCCTGAAGCACGCACCGTTTTTACGGTCAAACCGGGAAAACTGTAAACACGTGAAATATCTCAGGAATGTCTATAGTGTCATGACCAATCACAGAAAAGATCAGGGCACGCGAACTAGTCACAAAATCACAAACTAGTTACAGTCCTTGCTAGCGGTTTAGGTTTCTCTTGCCTGATTGGATTTTTTCTTGCAACACAATAACATTCCAAAAATATTTCCTATCTTCCAGGTTTGACTGTAACGAAGACATTTTTACCGTCTTTAATATTTACAAACCCTCGTTCCGTGACTACAGATTGCAAACTTTGCATGAACTATTACCTGCGAAAAGAGCTCCTCCACCGTGATTCATGAGGTGAGTTGATCCGCCAGTACTTCCCTCCACCTTTCCTGCATAGTCAACTTGTAGTGTGGCATAATTACCCAGCCTTTTCACAATGACCGTGTGGTATTTGTTGTCTGTGACGTTTACCCCTTTGAGCTGAAGAATTTTTGTCCTTCCTGCCATTCGGAAAATGCAGCGAATTACTTCGTCCTGCAACTGTAAAAATGAAACGAAATAATATGCAAAGATGTCTCACTTTGAAGTAAAGTAATCGCCTGGACAGTAAAAGCCCTCCTCGACTAAGAACCTGCCTTTTCTCAAGTTAGCCTAAGCAAGTTCTCACTTAAATTGTAATTAACACGAATTTAGGCTATTTAGGTTGTTAAATAGGTTAGTGGTATTCAGCACATTTGACCTTGGGTTAAACCTGTATTCCATATCACAATTGCAGTTGGAGTAATAAAGCACCTATATGTCTTCAAAAAGGATCCTGAATGTTGACTTTTCTTATTTGCCCAAGTGTACATAATTTGTTTAAATAGATTGAGAAAATATGACAGGTTCCTGTATAGAGGGTGCCTAAGTGGCAAAATGTAGCCTAACAGGTTCTTAAAAACCAGGTTCTTAGTCGCGCGTTTTTACTATATTACATACTAAGAAGAGTGGCAAGTTCTCGGCTACTTTAAACGTTACCAAGTGATTATAAAAACGTCGAAACTGTTTTTTGGAGGAAAATAGTAGACGTAATACTGAAGATGGTTTTCCACTGAAATCACGTCGTAACGTAACAGTCCAGAGAATCTGACACATACTTACGGGCAGCGTTTCCCACAGTTCCACATATTCATTGTGATGAAAGTAAATATAAGGAGAGGGTAAAAGGCGCTCTAAAGGGACTTGTTCTTAATAGTAAATAGATAAGTTGGAAGAAAACGTAGGCTCTGTTTACTGAGGTTGAATATTAGCAAAGGAAACAACGAATCATTGATGATTAAAAAGAAATAGAATAAATGGATCTTATGCAGCTGGAAATAAGCCTTATGCAAAAAGCCTTTATGCAACTAAAAGAGGGCCTTATAAAGCTGGGATCTCGTGACCTTTCTCGTGCCAAAATTATGTATTGAAAGTCTAAAAATTACAGAAATGGAAAGTTTACAGAAAACATGATGGCTTTTCTAAATTCTAAGTTTTAAATTTTGAAGAAGTGAAATTGGTGTTTATGTACTACACGTATCAATTGAAAAAGTTGTTGGTAGGCACGCCTTGTGGTCCAGCAAATTCTTTGGATACAAAGCCTCATAATTTTCTAGACATTCCAACCCCCACAAATTATATGTCAGTCAAATAAAATTGGCCTCGTAACCATTTTTCACATTGCTTTCCTCTCCTGATATAGCTTGAGTTTTTTCCCATAATATTTGCGTAAGGGAGGTATCGTGACTACAAGAGGCCTATATATACAGACAACTTACATCAACCCTGACAAACTCGGTTCCAAGGCTGTTAGTCGACAGAAATATCAGACTGCTGTGCATTCCAGGGTTAACCTTGATCTTCAGCGCAATGTCAGTGAAATACTCACTGGTTATTGGTTGGGGGGCTGGGACTGGGAGAGCAAGACGTCGCCGCCTTGATAGCGTTGACGATGAAGACGACGAAGACGAAGACGACGACGACGACGACGACGACCATGATGATGATGATGATGATGATGATGACGATGAGAAGGATGAAGCTTCCCACGATGTTACAGAATACTGAGAGTAACTGTTTTCCAAATAGTAATTACCAGCCGCAGCTTTTAAAGAAAATGCAAATTTTGATTATGTTTATTGGTAAAAAAAAATGGTCCAAGAAGATTTGGCACTATTCAACCGTAATTATCTCCAAATCTGTAGAGTGCAGACTTAAAAGGATAGCGTTTTTAAATAATATTTCTCAAAGCCAAAATTTCGCGTAATTTTAATTGTATTGGAAGACTCTTGACTTTATGCTTTTTTGTACTTCTTAACTTCCAGGATGTTGGGTACAAAAATCAAGGGAACTAAGGAGTCGAGCAACAAACTGTAAGAGAGTAGCTTATTCTAAAACACCGAATAATCGAACTTCTGAAAAGGAACACGTGTCCACTTTAGCTTAACACAGATTAAGAAAGATGAATTTTATAAGCAAGGTTCTGGAAGTTTTGTAATTCGCTCTCTCTATAACTAAACTTACTATTTTGACAATTCGGGCCGAGATATCCGACGTCACAGACACACACACTTTCCTTTGTTAGATAAGGTTCACAGTAGCCGTGGTTTGTACAGTTCGGACATCCTCTGGCTTTGCTGCACCCCTCGGGCGAATTTACCACCTTCAGTGGTGTTTTGAGGTCGTACATGTGGTCATTGTTGGTTATTTTTCGTATACAGCCATTGAAACCTGTATAGTTGAGATTAGGATAAGCAGGGCCAGGATTTTCTACACCTCCGATCTGAAGTGGCCAAAGGCTGTTCAAGTAGCTGAAAGAAAAAAGTAAGAATAGTACGTAAGAATGATTTTTAAAGCTTGAGCCTTCAGCCTTGTAGGGACTATGTTACAACTTTGGTTGGGGGGCTTTAGCCAGATTAATAGTGGTACCTACTATTTACTAATAGTGACTGGCCCCCAGAGTTTATTTTGTGTGCCTGGGTTCATGGCAAGAAAACTGGGAAATTTTTTTTCACTGATAGCTTTTGATATTGGTTGGATCCGCTGCAAGAAGAAGCATGACACGGGCTCATTTCACTCGGTCGAACCAGGTGCAGGGGTACGAGAACACGATGTTTCCGCTTAAATAAAGGCTGCTGATCCAAAATACTGTTCAAATTTTTTAAAAGCGATCAAAAGGGCACAAAACTTTCTTGCGAACTATGTGTTTTTCAGGAAATCTGAATGACTGTTGGCAGAAAAATACCATATCAAATATCGTAGTTTTGGCTGTGTATGTTTACTGACATTTAACATGTTTTTACCTCTGACGACCGCAGCTGATTACAATCTACAAATGTTTACTTTATCTCGACCTGAAAGCAAGCACCTTATCGTTCACGGAAGGGATAGAAACTAGAGTATACGATGAATTCTGACGGGAAGTATAACGCTTGAACTGGGCATGGAGAACCTAAAGCGAAAGCATGCCTGTCCCGAATCGCCATGTGTGATGGGGACGGTTTTCATCCTGATCCCGGGGGGGCACTTTAGGATATTTCTGGGTGGGGATGCCGCTGGGACCCTGGAACCCTTGACCTATACCAGAGCTAGTTCAGCTGCATCCCTATACTAGAGTAAACTCCCAAAATCCCCTATCCTAGAGTAGTTGTTTCCCCAGTCTAGATAAAATCTTCAACCAACTGATCCTGAAAAAATGTTATTCTAGACCCAAACGCTCTGATTTATATACCCTATCCTAGAGTAAACTACTTGAAAACCATACCCTTCACAGCGCACATACCCATATAGCCCATATATGGCAGTACCCCCCCCGGGTCCTTATCCGAGTTAAGAATCGTCATTTAGTCAAAATTTCCGGAATTTCCGGTTCGGCGGTAAATGGAACACGTTTTGTCGGTTCGTCCCACTGGACGGTTTGGAAAATCTAAAAAGGTGGTCCTTATCCGAATTTCAGAACGGAATGTCGAGTTCCATTTACGTTTATCGTAGTTTGTACCAGTTCCAGGTCCACGGTCGGGCACCGCGCCACGTACCGGGGTTTACGACCAAATGGAACAACTTTTTACCGATCGGAAATTCCACTTTTGCTACCACCGAAATTTCCGGGTTTTTTTCGTAAATGGAAAGCGCCCAATGTCTAACCGTTTGAAGATGTAATTACAAAGGCAGCACTTTCTCCCATATTATATTTCAGAACAGCCAAAGTGTTGATCCTGCTATGGTTTGAACCAGCGGCCTCCTGCTCCGAAAACCGAAGCTTATCCCTGTTAGAAGTCTCCTTAAGTATAAAAATAAGAAGCAAGAGGAAGCTTTTCAAAGCATCGGGAACAAACTTACTTGAAGTTAGTCTAGAAAATGATCTTCTTCCCCTTGCATAAGAAGTCAACTCCATGTTTATTATACAACAATAAGACGCGCAAGTTCATACTTACTAGTATGTGCCTCTAATCTTTCCTGTTATTTTGCAATTGCTCTCATCTTCCACCAGGTCATCACCTAATTTGAGTAACTGTGCGTCCTTGCAGCGGTCCACAATTAGCGTTATCACCTTTGGTAAACAGTATTATTGTCAAAATTAGCAATAAATAAATGAGGCTGACTAGATATAAAGCATTGTGAATCTCAGAGGGTGTTATCCACCTAGGCCTTCGATCTCGGTGGATAACACTCCCCGATATCGGCATAACTTTTCATAACATAACGTCATAACGATATCCCAATCCAATTAGCCTGATTGATATCATGTTCCCCACTTCATAATATTTCTCGGCTAATAACGATATAACAGGGTAGGCTAGCGTATATTCTTTGGAATGGAAGTTGTCATCCGTTGAGTGTTATTTTGCTGTTCTTGCTATGTTATTACGCAGTAGCTTGACTATTTTGTCTTCGCAAAGCCTTTGTAACTGTTCTCCAGCTCTATCAAACAGCTGAGCTATTAAGCCTTTTCCTTTCCCTTTATTGAAATTAATTTTTAAAAGAGACTTCATCTTCAAAAATATCGGAAAAGACTTGAAAATTTAATCAATCAATAGCTAGTTATGAAGGATTAGGTGGAAGATTCAAGGCAATAATAAACAGAATTATTTTGAAAGAATAATAAATGAAAAATAGGCTTTTCACTTTCCAAGTGATTGTTTTGCTTATTTGAAATTGGTTTAAATAATTACATGCCTGAAGGCATATTCGCTTTATACAGCTAATACTTTTAACCGAATGATATCAGATACCGTACTTTTAGTTCTTGGCGTACTTCAAGAACATGCCATTCACCATCATCCAGCCGAACACCACGTGACATAGTAAGCACTAAAGACTCAGCTCCTAAGGACATGATCACACGGATGAAACCATCATACAGCACAATAGCCATGAAATCACGAGACTCACCAGTACGGACTGTCAAGAGAGTAAATGACAAAGACGGTTAGCAAGCAATTTAATACCTGCAACGAAAATGTTCATAACCCGTAGAAACGCAATCAATTTGAATAAAATAAAAGCTAGGAATGTTTATTGACTAAGAAGGGCAGCCAGCAGGGTCCAAAGAAGGATAACAAAACATTCATCAAAAGACTAGAACAAGGTCGGTTGCAAAAGTGCTGGCCGGAATAATACTTGACGAAAATAGTTCCAGCTGGAATAATACAACCACGAGTTTCATCGGAGAAGTACTTAGCTCGAGTCGGAGAGGTACTCAGCTTGACTCAATTCAGAGATACAGGGTGGTTGTTGTTCCTTGTTTTCGATGTCTTTGTCCTCAGACCAGACACGCTCTGCGAGTTCTACCCTCTCCTTCCTCAAAGCGCCTCTTTTGTCGTAGTACATATACTCCTGGCACCTTTTTTTACGTGCCTTCGCCTTTGTCAGAACTTTTACCAAAACTTTCATAAAGTATTTAGTTTATTTTGAAGATAATATTTGGTTCTTGAACATTTTTTCGTACATTTTCGTCTGACGCTATTTGCAAATAGGGCTCTTTGCAAACAACGCTCGCTCGTTGCCCTAGCCTAGAAGTAATTTGTAAGTTTTATATAAAAACAGGCGGGAAGGATTATTTTACAGAATAAAGTGGGGCATTATTGTATAAAGTAGCGAATTCGTATTTGCTTCTCTCCGTGTGTATTTCATCGGCTCTTCCTATCACTGCGAAGCATTACCAACCCGGTAATCAATAAAAATAATAAAAACAACCATATTTAAACAGGGAGCCCGCGTCACACGTGGTTTTCAGTGGGGCCCAGCATTAAATAAAATTACAGATATAAAAATGCTTAAATATTAAAAGATAAAATTTAAAAAACTTTAAAAGATTAATAATTTAGGAATTAAAAAAGAAAAATTATAAGATACTCCTAATATGTCTTTTAAAAGATAAATGTCAGAAATGTTTTTTAACTTCACTTATTACTCCTCCAGCAAAGGATAATAGCACAAACCTTGCTCTAAGGGGCCTTGATAAAGTAAAAGTCCATTTGCAACTAATGTTGTAAATTCTAGCTGTACAACACTCCTTTCGTATACCACCAACGTTTTGAGCCAGATGTAAGAGGTTCCTAGACCTCCTTCGAACGTTCGAGTCGTTTCTTCACACAAGAGCCCGGTGACAAGACCTTCGGGCTTATGTTTGCACTGGCAAATAAATCCTAAGCAAAATAAACCAAAGAGTTAAACTGATTGAAATCTCAACGCTAGAGAATAACTCATAGAAGAGAATTATGACAAAATTACTCATTTAGGTGGGTTATTTACATGGCCTTTTTTGTCCTCAAACATGTTGAGTATTTCCTATCACTTTCGAGCGAAAAATCTATCCTCTACCAACATGAAAACTCATGACTTTGATTCACACATTGCCTTATAGAAATATCAATATCATCAAAATATATAGCTTCTGAATAGGGTTGAGCAAACAACAATTAACACGTGAATCACACAAAGTAAATTGACGAGTTAGCCATCCACGGTTAGTTGAAGCTTGTCAGAGAGGATGCCAAAATCCCAAATTAATGTCTGAAATATGTAAGCCCTGGCCGAAATAAAATACAGATGAGGCAACGGGTTATCGGCATTAGAACTGGTTCATTTGAAGTGGGTGGTTGTTTAATTTTGTTGGCGAAACTGTAGGAATGTTTTAAAATGAAGCCACTGCCGGTATCAGGAAGGTAGATATAGGTATTGGTTACTACAGGAAATTTAGACCATACTTTTGCCTGAAAAATGTACGTACGGGCAAGTTGCACACCCATCTCCTCTGTGAAGAAATACATGCTCCCCGTTTAGACTACGTTTAACCTGGCACCGCTGTGTGCGTAGGAGGAGAACTTAGTATGAGGTTAGGACGACATTAGGATGGGTAACGAGCAAAAAAGCAGAGGAATTATCCAAATTAAGTAGCAAATATCACTTTAGGAATCGTTAGTATATTAATTAGGGGACCCAGGGGCTTATTGCAATCGGTCTGATACCTTCTATGCTCATAAGGCAACAAGATTTGACTTGACTCGGACTCTTAAACAAAGACTGCAATACAAACCGTGTGGTTTTACATCATGGCATATTCCTCCATGCAGGCAAGGCTTGTCTACGCATTTACGAGTTGGTGATATTAAAATAGACTCGTACTTGGCTTGAAGCTGGACGTCAATGGATACAAACGTCAAAGAGCTATCGGGTGCTGGAAATTGACCGTAATCACCGTTGATGACAGTGAACGCATGATCAGCTCTTGCTATGTTCTGGCAGACACCAGTTTTGTTGATTTCTTGTGCACAGTTGTCAATTCCAAAAGCACCAATAGTTAAACCTTCAATTTATAAGAAATAAGGCTTAAGTATATGCTTTGCATATCGAAATCAAAAATGAAACTTATTAAAAGCTATTGCACCAACACCGAGTAAACAACGAGATTGAAAGTTCAGTACAGGAGAAAATACCTTTCAAGTTACTGACCTTCACTGCTAAAAATATTTCTGGATCTAATTGTAATATTTTGCCTTAAGTAGGTAAGAAAGAAAAGGCTTCGTATCTTCTCACCAATGTTTTCAAGTGAAGCTTTGTTTTCCACCACCTTGATCAAGACGTCAGTTGGACTCATAAATCCAGCAGAATACAGAATATTCCTCACCACAAATTGTACATTTATGGCATGAGGGTTCCTTGCGTCCTTTTGAATGCTGAAAATATAAACATCTGAAGTCATAGTAACGGCTTCACGATTTACGGTGAAAAAACCAGGCAACATTCCCTCGAGAAGAGAATAATAGTCTCCGATAAACACGTCTGCGTTTTGAAAGTTCACAAACTGGATTGTACTACTCTTGCTCACGGCGGTTTGCGAAATATTTTGAACAATAACTCGGACAATAGAAAATACCACTTTGAGCTGCGCTGAGTTGCTATTCATTTCTGTTATCTGTGCCAAAATCCTGTAATTTCCCGTTGGAATGTCTTTGGAGGCAGATAGATTACCAGTGCTGGCTTCAATACCGAAGTAAGACCCTGGATTCTGGCTTAAAATTGCATAACTATTTAGGTCTACTTCAAAGTCATTGTCTTGATAATAAACTTTCCCGATGTTACCACCTATAAACTCTCCGTTATATGCATTAAGGATAATCGTCATCGAAGCATTAAATGGTTCGTTATTGTTAACGGAATCCTCAATCCGAATGTAGACCACAGTGATATTACTCATCGATGGGTTGCCACTGTCTGTCGCTTCTACCCAGATCTTCCATTCTTGTTTCTGTTCGTATTTGAAGATGCCATTAGAAAATAAATCTGCTGTGTTTGGTCGTATGACGAAATTATCATCGACCGTACCATTAAGGATCTTGTAATAAAACGGAGGACCATTAGAAGGTTCATCGGGGTCATAAGCTGTAAGAGTGACAACAAACTGGGGATCAGCAACATTTTCAAAAATGCTTCCAACGTAAAATGGTGGTACAAAATGCGGTCCATTGTCATTGACATCTAACACAGTGATTGAGACCACGCAAATGGCAAAAAGACCGTCCTCATCTTTGGCCATTATTTCCAAAGTGAAACTATCTTGTGTCTCCCGATCCAGTGCTGTAGCTGTGTATAAAATGCCTAAATGACGGTCATTTAGATCCTGTTTGACGTCAAAGATATCGGCGCGATCCCCAAACATGACTTCAAAATGCAGCGACGCCTCGAGGGTAGTATCAAGATCAGTGGTTGTTAGACTCAACAAAGAAGTTCCAACGGCCACATTTTCATTCACAGATATTTGATATTTATCTGGTACAAAAACCGGAGGGTGATCATTAGTGTCCAGTATAGTAATGAAAACGGTCGCGAGTTCTGAGGCGGTTAGCTTAGGGGTTCCTTGGTCAGACACGTTGATCTTCAGGGTATAACTAGACTTTGTTTCAAAGTCTAAATTTCCCGAAACCATAATGCGTCCTGTGCTTGGTTCAATGTAGAACCCATAAGGTTCATTACCAGATACAATAATAAATTCCATCAAGGCATTGAAGCTCTCGTCGCTGTCCGTGGTGTTTATAGTAACCACATGATATCCAGGGTAAGCGTTTTCCGGTACAGACGCGGTATACTCCTTAGGATTAAACTGAGGTCTATGATCATTGGCGTCTTCAATTCTGACAGTGACGACTGTAGTTCCACTTAGTTCTGGTACACCTTGATCAGTCGCTCTGATGGTGATGTTGTATTCATTGATGTCTTTTTCCCTGTCAAAAGTTGTAGTGGTAAATATGAGAGCGGTTGATTCGTCCACCCCAAATCGTCCATTGCTGTCGTCATCTAACGTGTACTTAATTTGTGTGTTGATGACCATTGAAGGATCATCTTCATCCACTGCTTGCACCACTATAACGCTTGTTCCTGCGGGTAAGTTCTCTTCCACTTCACCGATATAGGGCGGATTAGGAAAATATGGTGCTTGATCGTTGATGTCAAGAACGACAACCTTGAATCGAAAGGAAAAAGCCAGGTGAGAAAAAGGTGGTTATACTATTTGAAAAAGTAACAAGTGTGAGTATGACTCTACGAGCGACGCTAGGTGTGGATTGAGTTTGCTTTGTTTTGCTAATTTTTAACTCGTTTGTTATTAGTCCTCATTTTACCTTTATTCCAGCAATTCCAGTGTGTTTCCCATCTGAGGCCAGAACAGTGAAGTGCAGCACCGGAGTCTTTTCCCTGTCCAGCGGTGTTCCAGTTGTTTCTATCACTCCGGTATTACTTTGAATAGTAAAGTAACTTTGGCCTTGTTTGTCCAAGGAGTACACAATGTCTTCCTGCGTGGTGTCAATGTCCGTGGCAGAGACAGTGAGTACAGGTTGCTTCGATGAGCTGCCTTCTTGAACTGTTGCATGATAACGAAGCTGCGTAAACACCGGTGCATTATCATTGACATCACGGACCTAAAAACAATGACAAGACACAATAGAAGACAGTGACGGTAAAGAAGAAAGATAATTATGTTCATCATACTACAACTGTACTTACCAGTACTAGAAGCCTCTATATAAGAACCAGGGAGAAGAGGCTTTCCAGTCGCTGAAAACTCAGAGGTTAAAACAAACTGGATCGATGCAAGGGTAATTGACGAGCAATGGAAAAGTGCGATAGCTATGGGAAATGACACCCTCATAGATGGACAACAGCAAAGGACGAAAAGAAGATTACCTAGTTCGTTGCGTTGCGATGGTTGCTTAAACAACAGTATCTTAAACTTGAAGTTAAACTAACATTATTAATGTCCTCGTTTTATGGTCTGAAGATCTCGAAGCGAAGATGAAGGAGTTAGCAGGGGAAAGACATGACAATGTTCTGAAGCGTATGCAAAAAGCTTAAAAACTGCTAGCGGGCGATGCAATGCTGGCGATCATCAGGGAATGGTTTTATGAATTTTAAGTTGCAAAAAATCAAAGTAGCTTATAAGCCGATTTTTAAAAGCTAAATTATATAGCTTAAGTTGCTATTTATTATATAAAGTTAGCAGTTATGAGACTTTAAAGATGAGAGGCGTTTGAAGAAATCTTAAAGTAAAGTTTTATAATTGCTTTCAATATTTTCTGCATAGGCTGCTTTCGTGCCGTTTGGATGCAGTATTGGAACATGGTACATAAACGTCCAACACTGGTAAAATATTTGTCAAATGTTTAAAAGGGATAACTCCTTGGTATGAGTGCAATATTTCATGAGGTCATAAATTTCCTCATGAAAAATATAGCCAAGGAATAAATTTAACTGTTTACTCCCTTTGTCTCTCTCATCTCGTTGTATGCCTAAAAAAGACTCGGTTCTGGTTCCAATCATTATCAGTGTCTAGCTATCAATGAGCTCTAAAAAGTGGCGAGAAATTTCTTCTTACTTTAATAGAAACATCTATCGGCTGACTGGTTGACCTGTCATCAGAAGCAATCATTTTTAGGCTGTACTCTTTAGTCGTCTCGTAGTCCAGGTTTTCTTCAAGAATAAGTTCTCCTCCGTTAGGCGACAATTTATTTCTCATACTAAATGTTCCGTTCGAGTTCCCTTCAGATATGAAAAAGCTAGCTCTGGTATTAGGACCAACGTCGATGTCTTTTACTGTAAAGAAATAAATTACCGAACCCAAAGGTTCGTCTTCACCGACTGTTAGAAAGTACTCGGTAGGCTCAAAGGTAGGTCCCATATCGTTGTCATCTACGACTTCTATACGCACAAAAGTTTTAGAACTCAGCGGAGGAGATCCTTTGTCGCTGGCTTGTACGTCTATTAAGAAATGAGCTTGTTCCGCCATCTCGCGGTCAAATGTTTCGGCAGTTCTTATGACACCTGTGATGGAGTCGATGGTAAAATACTTGAAGTCCTTCGTTGGAGCAATCGCGTATGTGACCTATAAATTTATATAACATAAGAATAACCACTGGAGAAAGTGTTAGAGGTTTCGTTTCTTTTCATTCATTTATTCATTCATTCATTTATTTTGCTATTACTAAACGCTAATAGACTAATAGTCTATTAGACTAACAGACTAATAGACATTATTTAAATCCAACTAGTGGTCTATTATCAATGCTGTGTTCTGATTGGTTGAGCTACTACTAGGCTATATGTTATGGCCCACTAGTACCGAAAAGCGCCGGCTTTGAAAACCAAAACAATGGCGGCTGAATCGTGTTTTGCTAGCTAAAGTTGTTTTGTCTCGATACTTTTGACCAACTAGTTGGATTTTACTAAAACAATTATTCCTCTCGCCCTCATGCCCATAGAAGAGAAAAGCAAAAAAGGAACAAGAAAAGTATGTAGCTTAACAAAGAGTATATTTGGCCAACAAAGAAGGATTTTTTTAAGTCTTTCGCCAAACAAACTGATACTTTTCACGACTTACCGAGTTGAAAAACTCAGGACCTTGAAACCGAATTGAGAATTTTGGAAAGTTAGTTACACAATGAGGTATATAAAAAGGCCAGAATTTCTTGTATTATGGGATTGGATGTATATGGCTTGTAAGAGTAGCCATGTCACGAAAATAATTTGAAAGTAAACCTCGTTTAAAAAGACACATAAATTTACCTGTTCGGTATAAATAAATGTCAGAGAATTTTCAAATCTCCTGTTCTTTGAAAAGAACACTGAGATCAGTATGACAATCAAAAGAAACCTTATTCTGATTATCTTCTTTTGCAGAATAATAATCCCCATAAAATTACAATGATATGTAGATCCCCACACTGAAACATAATGTATTAAACTAGACTATAGTACAAAGAACGTATATTTTTGACAGCCTCTAAGTACATTTTGTACAGTTGGCGTCTAAGTACCGTCATTGTACCTAGAGGCTACTTACAAAAACGATTTGCTTTCCCTTAGTTAACATCATAAGAAACTTTCAAAAATAAATCAGACATAAGGCGTGTCTATTTGTTATGTTATGGTATTCTGTTATAGAGTCCATTATTTTTCTTATTTAAGCATGTTTTGTTGCTCCTTAGTGTTTTTATGTTGCCAAATTTACTTTGTTGTTCACCCGTCAACTCTTGGCTTTATGCTGTTTTCCTGTCACTCTATCATTTAAATCAGTTCTCAGCTCTTAGAATGTTTGCCTTAGCCTATTTTTTCACCTCCTATCAAAGATGAATCAGTTTTCTGTTCTAAACAAGATACATTCGTGACAAGCATGATTGTTCTAATCCTTACCTCACCCCCGGCACCTGTGTCGTCATCCTGCGCTTGAATTTTAAGGACTTCCGTACCTTTTGGAGAATTTTCGAGAACTCTGCCTTCATAACTTTCAGTTACAAATGTCGGCGAATTATCATTTAAATCTTGGACGAAAACTACCACCAGGCATGTGGAAAACAACTGCTCGCTCTCGCGCGCCCGAAACTGCATACGGAATATTTTGATCTGTTCGTAATCAAACGACGACGCTCCCGAAGTGATAATTCCTGTCTTCGGATTAATTGTGAAGTAATCTGAAGCTCCTGACCAAGTCATTAAGGAACTGTAAGTTACATTATTCACTGACGTTGCTCTGATTTTGGCGATGAATGTACCTGAACAAAAAAGTAATAAAGTGGTGTTATTCATTAAATAAAACTACAAGTTTTGAAAATTTCCGATGAGCGTTGATTCTTTCTATTAAGACCGAAGATTAATTCACTTGAGGATAGTGCCAGGGAGGTGGCATTTTCGTCGTTGAACCATTCAGTTACTTCTGAAAAAACCACTTGGTCCAGTGACAGTTCCAAAAAATGTACGGATTTTTTAATTATTTTGTTTGCAGTATGGCCAAAGCATATTTTCTGAAACACCATACGTGAACAGTTCCCTCTTAGTAGCGACACTTCTATGTAAGAGCTTAAAGTACAATTCTCTTAGTTTGTTAAACGATTTTACTCTTTCGTTTGCTAAATATTACTTGTACAAAAATAATTTATAGCACCTAAAGAATTATCTTTGGACGAATTTAAGGCTATAATCAGTAGCTATCAGTTGGAGGTACATAGTGTATGATTTCGAAAAACCCCTTGCTTCAATTAGTTAGAAAGAATTCAACTTACCAGAATAATATGTTAGGTCTAATGCCATTGTGTTAATTACTACAACTGTTGTATCTTTCTTTTTCGTTTTTATGTAATTTTGGTCCAGTCTGCTATATTTTTATATACTTTCTTTTAGTTTAAACTTTGTGTGTTGTGTAAATAATCGACTATTAAAAAGAAGAAAAAACTACAAGTTTTAGCACAACCATATTGACCTACCTGGCGGACTATTTTCTGTGATGTTCGCAGTGTAGAGTCTCTGGCTAAAAACGGGAGGGTGGTCATCTGTAACGTAGATTTTAATTTTTGTTCCGCGGCTCCTGGAAGCGCCAGACTCCTCGTAACCTACAGTCATAGGCTCTTTATTAAACGCAACAACTTCATATGTCCATGTCCCAACGAATGACCCCACTGATGCTTTTGTTGTAATAAAGCCATCGTCAGATATCTCAAACTTGTCGTTCGCCTCCAAAAACTGGTACTGAACCTCACTGTTGACGTCTGAATCTTCATCAAAGGCGTGAACTCTCAAAACAGGAGTCCCAATTTCTGAATTTTTCCACACGCTTCCTTCGTATAACCATGATAGGAAGAACGGATAATTGTCATTCACGTCCCCGATTGTGACAGTAATTTTGCAGTAACTAAGGAGAAGGAAAAATAAGTCTTATAAATGACGCAAAGAATAAAGAAGCGAAAACAAGACGTCAAATGGGCTTCCCATAGGAATGGTAACCACAACTAAGCTGCTGCGCGCGTATGCGCCTATATTACTGGGCAAAATACGACCCAAAGTAAAAACAAGGAAATAAACTGAACACGGCGGTTGTTGTGCATCACCAGAGAGAATTTTTTCTTCGTCTAGGCGTTAGATTTGCTATTCTTTGGACAATTAGTATGTTGCTAGTCTTCCAAGCAGCCATTATTTGGGTGGTCACGTGAGAGTGACGAAACAAACAACAGCTGCCAAGGAAACTGGTCTGCATCACTAATACCTGAGGAGTCTATTAGACGAGCTTTGTCCATGTCCACCATCTTCAGCCTTAATGACGACTACGTAGTCTGAAATAAACTCACGATCAAAGATCTCAGTGCTTCTTATTACCCCGGTGGAGTTGTCAATTTCAAATGACGGATCACCATAAACGATGCTGTATTCTACTTCTCCATTTATACCACGATCTTTGTCTGTTGCCAAAACCTGCGTCACTATTTGTCCTGCTGGAGTGTTTTCGATCAATTCAGCATTCTCACACTTTTCAAACACAGGCCTGTTATTGTTCTTGTCTCTGATATAGATGATGGCCTTAGCGTCACTATAGGTTTCGGAATCACTTGCTCTAATGGTTAATGTGTATTCCCAGGGTTGGCTTGGAAGACTGTCCCGTAGAGATATGACCCCAGTCTGAGAATCGATCTGGAAAGGACTTGTACCGGCAATTATAGAATACGTGATAGGATGGTGATCAACGTCGTGTGCCAACACCGCTCCCAAACCATTCCCAATTGCTGCTTCTTCGTCAATAGTTAATCTGTACTCTGGAAAACTAAAATGCGGTTGATTGTCATTCGCGTTTGTAACTGTAATGTTAACAAAAGCCACGTCGTATTTAACTTTATTTATCAAAGTGTCCGAGACCTCTACTCGAAAAATATGAAATTTACTATTCTCAAAGTCTAAAGACCTTGCGTTTGATATGACTCCTGTATCGGCGTCAACGGTAAAATACGAGTCGTCTATGACTACGAAAGATAGCTGACCAGGCTTACAACGGCAGTCTTGACTGCAATCACAATCAGTTGCACGCACAGTCACTATCGAAGTTCCCATGGGCGCGTCTTCACTAACCGTCGCTTGGTAAAATCCTCTTTCGAACAGGGGATAATAATCATTTGTATTTAATACAGAGATCGCCACTTTTACTGTGGAAGCAAACCCTTCAGGGATCAATTCTATTGCCTGAACAACCAGTGTATACTCCTTTGGCTGGGTTTCGAAGTCTAGTAGAAAGTTTAGTTTCATGTCGCCATTCTCAGATATTTTAAATTTCTTGTCAGAGTTGCCTTCCAAAATAGAGTATCCAATCCTGGTACCGGAAGCGCTGACGGCGGTTACTTTACCGATTACTGTTCCACCTTTAGCATCCTCTGGTACTTCAAATTTGTAGCCATCATCGTGAAAGTCAAGAAATCTTGGAGGCATTTGTCCAATGTCCAATTTCACATTGATGGGAGGACTCTGGCGCTGAGGGATGCCGAAATCAAAGGGATATATTTCAAGCTCATACTGATTCTTTTTCAAACCACCATCCACTTCAATGGTTTCATCTAGAGGATTGATACCAAATGGAGTGTCCCCAGTGGCCAACTGATAACCGGCCAAGCCATTAGGACCAAAGTCTGCATCAAACACCTGGAGACTCAAGACCTTCGCACCTGCTCGCGCGTTGCTATTAACTTGCCCGTGTTTTGTCTTAGAAATAATCTCGGGATCGTTGTCGTTAACGTCTTCAGCAAAAATCTCCAAGTCAATATCGTTTGTCAAGTGACCTCTGTCTGTCATACCTTGCTCTCTAACTGTCAAAGCATACTTAGTTTGGGTTTCAAAATCGAGTTCTTTCCCCAGCGTAACCCTGGCTTCATCATCAAGTGCAAAAGAAGACTTCTCAGGATATAAGATAGACATTTTTCCACCTGGAATGTATCTAGGGACCTCGGTGATCATTCTTCCAACCTGTGCATTTTCAGCAACCTTCACGGTCATCGCAGATTGATCTGAATTGTAGCTTGCGAATGCTAGGCGCACAGGTGTCGATACTGTATTTGGAGGGTCGGCATTATCTTTAGCTTCTACGTTGAAGGAAAGAGTTGACAGAGGGTCAGTTGCCCTTTTCCCCGGAATGCTACCTTCTATTGTTCTCTTAGCGTGTATAAATCCTTGATTATCAACAGAGAAGAATGCTTCAGCCTCAGGAGACAACTTGTATTGCATAGATGACTCATCGTCAAGATCGTAGGCCTCTATTTGTGTCACTTCATCACCTTCGTGGAAGTGACCGTCGACTTTCTGTTCAACCTGTCCACCAACCGAATCGATAAAATACGGGGTGTTGTCATTGATATCTTCAACATTGATGGTAACGCTGACGTCAGCAGTGAGATCTTTACTGTCGCGAGCTAAGACGTGAAGAGTGTATCGCGGCGATTTCTCGTGGTCAAGCTCTCTTGCTGTCACCAGATCTCCGGAGAATTTATCAATTTCAATAACCCCATCCTGGTTGCCTGATAGTATCTCATAAACGACGTGTTCAGTAGTAGCTGCTGCCGCCGAAACAATCTTATTTCCAGCCAAAAGACCCTCTTTAATATTGATATTCAGCGAAGGAGCAGGATAATGTGGGGGACCATCAGGTGGGAACAAATTAACAACAACCGTTGCAGTATCTTTTTTACTTTGATCATTTTCATCCACAGCTTCAACAGTCAAAGAAAAAATTTCTTGGGCAGCAGACGCAACCTGAGTTTTTCCAAGTGTGAGGAGTCCAGTGGCACTGTCTACGGCAAAGATATCCATGTCATTGCCTTCTGTGATGTTGTAATATATTACTCTGTTCAAGTCGTTATCCAGGTCAAAAGCCATCAAACGAACTACTCCATCTGCTGCTTTGGCGTTGGCAGGTATAGAAGCTTGATATGAAGTGGTGGAAAACCGCGGTTTGTTATCATTAATGTCCGTGACTGTGACAATTAGCTTGGTGATATCTGAAAAAAATTCCTTGAATGAGTGGTTTTGCGATTTGATGTGCGAACTTATAGAAACGCTTATATGTATCCGTTAATCGTAACTTAAATATTGTAAAACGAGTCTTCAAGTAATACTTTATTTGAGAGCAATAGACAGAAGTTGGTTCAGTAAAGGTTCATCTAGGCACTACATTGAGGAGTCTGCTCCCAACATCGACAAGGCCTGATGCCTTCAGCGAGAGGAGATAAACTAGACCTCACTAGCCTGGAGTGAGACAGTGGAGAACTAAAAAATATTGCTCTTCGTTTTCGCTTGAGGGAGAGCCTATCACAAAGATTTCTAAGGTGATTTTAGGTGCTGGAGCTAAAATAATCCCATATATTATATATAGTGCAGGTTTGTTATGTTCCCTTATTTGGAACTCATCTTACCACTTTGTTGAAATGGAGGATTTCCGTTGTCTTGAGCTTTGATATAGAGAACGTGCTCGGCAACTGCTTCACGATCTAGTGGTTTGTTAAGTCTCACCATGCCAGAGCTGGAATCCACCGCGAAAACATCCTTGCTTGCATCCAAAACTGTCTGCAGAAGGGAATACGTCACTTCGCCATATTCACCATCATCGCCATCAGTAGCTGTCAGCAGCCTTAAATTCGAGTTGATTGCTGTGAAAGGAGTACCAATAAGCAACTACCAATAAGTACTCTCTTTGTAAAGAGTTAACCCGCAACTACGTACAGATGTACAGATATACAGATGTTTGAAGTATGATAGTGTGAAACGAAATGCATACGGACTTGTGACCAATGAGTAGGCTATATACGTATAAAAAACCAGTGGTGATGATTTATAAAAGAATATCGGTCTATCAGATAGTAACAATTGCGTTCAACTCAGTTTTCCTATGCAGCATGTGATATTTTAGTTACTGAATATTTGATTCATCCATGATAATATATAATGTCTCCGAATGCGAAAGAAGATTAAGGACAAATAGAGTGTTTTCATTCCTTTCCCCTTTTTATATTTATTAACTTTCAAGGCAACGATCAGTGCATCTCACTAAACTTTTTTGTCGGCTTTCCTAGACTTACTGAAATACAAATCAGGAATAAATGCTGTTTGCGTAAAACGCTATGAATTTCAATAAAATATAATAACTAACTAATAAAACTGATATATTGATAATACTATTTTACACAAACCCTGATTCTCGGAGACCTTTATGGAAAACAGTGCTTTTTCAAAAGTAGGTGCATGATCATTTGTGTCTAACAGCTCAACCTTGACAACAGTGGTGTCATTCCTGTTGTTAAGGGACACCATCACTGTGAACTCGTACGAGGGCACACTTTCACGATCCAGGGGTTGCGCCACAGTAATAACGCCCAAGTAGTCAATACAGAACATTTTATCTTGGTTCCCTTGAACAAAAGAGTACTTTAACAGAGCAATCGGGTCTCCGTAGTTGGCTCTAACATCAATAACTTTAGTACCAACGGGGCTGTTCTCTTTGACTGTAGCTTTATACTCTTTCTGTTTGAAAACCGGGGGCTTGTTGATATTTATAACATTAATTTGAATTTTCGTGGCACTTTCCTTTCCGCCACCATCTGTGGCCTTCACAACCAACATGTAGCTACTCCCATCAGAAAACCTGAGACAAAAACAAAACTCGTTACCTAAAGTGGGGAAATGGTCGAAGCTGTCCAGCGGATACAAAGAATCTTTACTAAAGAGAGCAAGTGTCGATTGAGGCACATAATCCAAAGCCTACTCTATTGGGCTTCTTTATGGAGCCCGGTTAAGTAGTTAGTACCGAGTTTCAAGGAGTCCTGTGTAATAACAACTCCATGTGAACTATTGTTTCAATAATAAATGTATAGGTCGACCGTCGGCTTTTTTTTTCAAATCTACCCTGGCTACTCGAGGTTTTTCTCGTGCACGGAGAGATATTTTGAGGTGGGCCTCAGAAGGGCAAATTTTTGGCCGGATGACACATGAGTTTCTGGCACCCAAAGAAGTTCAAACCTCTTTCGGACATTCTTTCAGGTCCATGCATGAATAAATTCATTCAGATAAATGCTGCGTGAGTAAATCTTGAGAAGATATGTATGGTGCCAGAAGGGTTAGCTGTGTACTCAGTATTTATTAAGTAAGACCTGCCAGTTACCTGATTTCTTTGTCCGTTTTTAGTTCACCCGTGATTCTATTAAGCGTAAATGGAATACTTCTGGAAGGCGTACTTTCTGCTTCATTAATAGTGTATACTATTTCACCAAAGTTTTGCGCTGAGTCTAGGTCCGTTGCCTTGACCTGAAAATATACACCGCAATGATAACAATGAACAGAGTGTCTTTGTATCAAATGTAATGTACCTTTACTTTTTTCTTATGTTTTTTTGTTTTTGTTTTGTTTTGTTTTTTTTGCTTTACAATATCAGTGTCAGACGATTTTGCTCAGGGATATACAGTGGTAACTAAAGCCCCTATAAAGGTTGAGATAGACTTTAAAAATGAGGACTTCGTGACCGACAACGTGTCCTTGACGTCGAAATGGCGAATTTTTCACCTCTGGCTTTTGGTCTGAAGGAGGAGTAGGAGCCGGATGTTTGTTATTTTTGAAAAACAGACATGACAAGCTATCACGTGAGGACCGGCAACTTTACTCTTTTAGAAGGTCTGTCCACATGTGTGTTTTAGAGATTCAAGAGTTCCTTTTTGCAATGCGAGTTTCTTTTATGTCTGAAATCGCTTTAATAAGAAATGCTACTCGATCGTATGATTATTTTTATCCCTTTTCCCGTTGGTCTGTCACTTTACCGTGAATTCAAAAAAGAGTTGGAGCCATCACCATAAAGACTTCGATGAAAACACTGTACCTGAAAAACTGTGGTTCCACTGGGCGTGTAGCTATCAATGGCAATCTTAGTAACGGACTGGTAAAGAAGAAATCTGGGTTTATTATCGTTAACATCTGTCACTGTAACCTCGCCCGTTACCTCTGCTGTTACATCCGGGACATTGCCGGGGGAAGAAAAGGTTGCCCGTATGATCAACTTGTAGTCCTCTTTTGTTTCAAAGTCTAAGGCTTTCGCCAAAGTAATTATTCCGCTGTTAGAATAATCGATTTTGAAAGTTTTATCTGGATCTCCACCAACTATGGAATATGTTATACCGCTTTCTGAACCAGAGCGTGACGCTTTCACAATGAAAATTGTAGAACCTTTTGTAGCGTCTTCGGGCAGAGTCTTTGAATAACTTGAACTTTCGAATTGCACGGGAGAAAATGGGTCACTAAGCACAGATACTTTAACTGTCACTATGTTCCATTTCTGTTCTGGTCCTGAATAATCAAGAGACAAATAATGAGGATAATGAAAAAAACAGATGATAATTAGCGAAAAGATAAGAATTTGTACTGAAATAGAAGATATAGAAATATCAACAAGTAACTGGTAACAATTCAGTTAGTTATGAGCAGTCTTAAAATGTGCTTCCAAAGATGGCCCTTAAAAAATAGGCAAGTGATGAATATCGTGTGACTTGCCTGGCAAAGCATTCCTGAACATGAGCGCAGCCACCTGGAAGCAACAATGGCCTAGTGTAACCTTATTTCTAGTTGTAGGCGACGCTTACAAAATACCAACAGGAGATCTGAGGTTATATGTGTCCTCTGATTTCAGAGAAAATAGGTGCTGATTATATGGAGATGCTATGCCATTAAAGGTCTTGAATGTAAACAGCAAAATTTTGAAAATGGATGCGCTGCTTCATGGGCAACGAATGTAGCTAATAAATTAATGGCGTACTATGGCTGAAGCGCGGGGCGCAGCTTACGGGCTTTACTCCAAATATATGTTCAACCTTGTGAGGCTGCTTGTCGGGTAAACCATGCAAAAGAATGTTACATAGTCGACGCGCGAGGTGAGAATGTGTGCACTAAGGTCTTGTTTCCTTAGCAACATTCGAATGCGACGCATTTTATATAGATGCAGAAACCCAGCTGGTGGGCTCCTGGTAGATCATAGAAAGCTTAGCTATAGAGCTTACTAATATAAGTCAACATACTAGGATGAAAATCGAACCAGGAACCCAGGTCCTTGACACTGAACTAGCTTAGTGTTCAGACTCCCTAACAGTAATGCTTCCCTTCTGCAACCTTAGCTGACGATCTGGCCCCGGTTGTTCAAACGTTGAATAGCGCTATCCACGGGATAAATCACCTTTTCAGCGGATATGTATTTATAAAATAGAGAATCCACTTGCACTACCTACTGAATAGAGATTTATCCAATGGATCGGCGTTATCAACGTTTGAACAACTGGGGCCTGTTACTGCAGAAACTCAGTTTCAATCACACATAACCTTTATTACAGCATCATCATTCCCAGGCAAGTTTGGACTGTACGTCAAGTACAGTTGCGTATTATCTGCGTTACACTGCACACTTCGCAACTGTCGTCCCGCCATTTCGCCGAATAGTCAGTTTCTGGTGTATACAGTAAGAAAAGCAGGTCAAGACAAGATCCTTGAGTAAACCCTTGCACGAGCATAGGCGTACGGGCCGGGGGGGCGAGGGGGGCTGCAGCCCCCCCAAAATTTTGGGCAACTCAGATTTTTTGGGCAGCGAGAGAAAATTTGGGCAAAACCAGTTTTTTAAGACGTTTCCGTGTTTTTTAAATCATTATTTTGAAGAGAAGAATATTTTCTATTTTAACCTGAAGTTGGCGTAATAATCCAGTACTGTTACATTCACACGAGACAGTGGTTGCCTAGCACGTAATGAGTTTCTGGTTATAAGGGAAGGGTATCATGTTCTGATTTTTTTTATTGTTGGGCACTGTACTGCAATGGGCTATTTCCAGTCATGAATTGATTAGAATAAACTTCCGCCTAACTTTCTAGAATCATCTCCACTCGTAGAACAGTGTATGGCAGATAGCATCAGCAATGGGTCTGAAAGTGAAGAAGTGGCTGACTAATTCTCAGTTTGAATTACGCGAAGAATCGTAATTTTTAAAACAAAAAAATCTATCGAGTGGTTTAAAAATTATTCACTAATTTGTTAAAGTAGACCGAAATGTTTACAAAACCGCTAAAGAGAGCGCCATGATACATACTAAATACTCAAATCCTATTTTGGCCAGAGCTATCTCCATGATCTTTTACTCACGTTTTTAAAAAGATTGAAACTACTATGAGGTGAAATTGCATGTCAAAAGCGCTTCGTTTTCTACAGATAACGGCCAAACATCAAGATTTTCCTTTTTTACCGTATTTCTAACGATAAAAACTTTATCCCAAAATATCTCCACAACGCTCTTACAGATTCCGTTTTCACTTCACGAACATCGAGGCGACTATTGCAGGAAAATGCTCCCGTGAACGATTTTGGAAGAACAGTTCCCAGTGAGAAATGTTGCTGCAAGTATAATAGGTAATGGCGTCATTTGGTTGCTATGACAACTCCGATGTTATTGCAACCCGGATCATGACAAATTTTCATCTTTATCTACTACAACTGTGGTGGCAATTTTTCCAAATGTTTGTTTATGGTGTCGTAGTCTATGCTCAAAAAAACTTCACAGGTATTGACCCTGAAAAACTGTATCGAGCTACTTTCATATGCTAGTACGGCCTATGTTGTTGCATCGTATGGCCCTCGTTTCTGCTCGACTGTTTTGTAAAAATTTAGGCAACTTGCAAGAATTTTTTGGGCAAATGGTTTACCGCCCCCCCTGGCAAAAAATTGCCCGTACGCCTATGTGCACGAGTGGGAAGATATCAGAGATTTGATTTCGGTCAATGGGATTTTTGAACAGCAAACTCACAAGCTGTAGGTAGAGTTTATTTTTTTTTTACGTTTTCAACATCACTGGCTGAAGTTCTATCCTAATATCACCTTTCCCTTGTTACAAGCAATTCTACCAAACTTCCATCTTAAAATGAGACAAGAAACTTTTTAAAAATAACAAACCTGTTTCTGTGGCCTTGACGTTAAATTCGTAGAGTGTATTCTCTGGTAGATTGGATGTCTTAGTAACCAAGACGCCTTCATTGTCTACATGGAACCTGAAAGCAAATAATAAATACCTTTAAATTTTAAGATGAGTACGACTACGATGACGAGATTTTCTAAATAAAAAAGTAGTGCACGCGCATGAACCAGTGTCATTTTGGCGGGAAAACCTGATAGCCGTCGTCACTCTCCTACGAGTTTATTTAAGCGAGAATGTCGTAGTGACGGAAACAAGTCATCAAATGTTAGCAATGTGTCAGAAGTTTTATCACTTTGCTATGGGAAGAGGGCTTAATCTCTTTCACTAAAAATAGACGTACTAACTTTTCCGGTGAAAAAAGCAAATAAAGCTTTCCCGTGCTGTCTATCTTTTGAGAAAAATTAAAGAACGTTAAGTCAAATCCCGTCCTCAAATCTAAAGGTCTCTAGTCAAAAGGGGAAGATCTCTAGCTGCTACGCTACACTAAACTACACTTAACTCCCTTCCAAGTCCGATAGCAACTGGCGGAGTGCCTGATTTTATCGAAAATTGACTACAATAACATTGCTAGTCATCCAATCCCGGAATGCCTACTAAAGCGCCTACAACGTGTCCAGTTAGCCGCTGCAGGTTTCGTTCTTGGGCACTATGCGCATATGCCGGATCTAATCAAACTAGGATGGATGCCAATAAAGGAACGCAGAGAGTATCAATTGCTTCACACTGTTTTTAAAGCCTTGCAGTATAATGACTGTCCGTCCTATCTTAAGCTAGACATTCATAATCCAACACGGACACTGAGATCTTCGAAATAAACGACGTTAAAAGTACCCCTTGAGTCGGGTACTTTCCAACAAAGTGCCTCTAATGTTTTTAATTCATTACCCTCTGCTGCAAGGAACTCTGTAGTTTTTAGTGATTTTAAAACTACAGTGAGGAAGTATCTTATAAATAGGGCAAATGCACCTTCAAGATTTCTTGATTTGTATATCATTCTAGATTACTTTAATTTTTTTTGTCAGTAGCATCCCTAAAACTGTACACAGCTATAGCTTTTTATTAATATTATTAATGGTATTATTGTTTTTTAATATTTATGTAAAGTTTTACAGATGAAGAGCCACCTTTCAGTGGAAATACTGTAAATAAAGTCATTATTATTATTATTGTTATTATGGGAAGCAAATTGTGCGCTGTTGAAGACAACAAGATAATCGAAACATTGGAGAATGAGAAAAACCATCAAAAAAAGATCAAAATTTAAAACGTGATCGCTTATTTGACGGTTAGTGAACTACGTTTTTTGTGGCTTATACTGTTCGTTTCCATATCTGTAATTTTCGAGCAAACCGTTTAATAAAGGAGGCTAAACACTAATCGTTGTTTTTGATGGAAATCGTTCCTTTGATTCTCGGAAAATAACTGAGAAAACGCGATTTGTCGTTCAACAAACCTGCTTTGGTCCTCTTCAAGCTGTAAGACAATGCCTCCGCTGTCCTGGGTGTCCCTATCAGTAGCAACAATTTGTAACAAACTTGTTCCCTTGGGGGTACTGCTCGGTACAGAAGCCCAGTAATCAGATTGTTCAAACTCAGGAGGGTAGTCATTAGTGTCTGTTATTTTTACCGTCACAGATGCAGAACCAAAAAAGTTTCGTTGTTTCACGTTTGTAACACGAACTTTGAACTTGAACTCTCGGTCGGGTAGCTGAGTAAAATTCTTCATGGCTATTAGCTGACATTCCGAGTTCATTCGTTCAACTTGAAAATGATCAAGAATTTCTACAGCAGTAATATCCTCTAGTGTGCAGTCAAAATCAGCCAGGGACTTACCATCCGTCGAGAAACGAAACCCTTCAGAGTTCTTAACGAGGATTTTGGTTCCCTTGGCCACATTTTCTGGGGCTGTAATTTCGTAACTGTCCTTTTGAAAAATTGGTGGTTCATCTTTGTTTTCTACCGTTACCTTTACTGGAACAGCATTTTTCGCTACTTGCGAAGAACTTTCACTCATTGCCTCAACTTCAACGATATAACCTCGATCAAACTTGTAGTTGAAAGACCCCTGCACTGAAAACGTTCCTGTTGAAACGTAGATAAACAGCAAAGGATATTAAATCGTTTTATTAAAACTATTTCAATACTTCCTCAGGCTAGTGGGGTAAGGCCCGTAAACGGTTGCAGCCGGGCTGTTCAACTGCAGAGAAATTACTTTCTCAAGATTACTTGATTCCAGTGAGATGGTGTTGTTAAAGTCTACTTTTAAACTTAAGATATCTACTTTAACCAAGAGCCTTAACGTTTTTGCATTAACTGAAAAAATTAAGGTCGAGAGTTCGGCTTTCTTAGGCGATTAGATTAGACTTTGAAATATTTCGATGTAAAACGGCAGATTGGGATTTGCCATTATCTATATATAATCTCTTTTAGATCATAGAAATGAGACCATAATACTAATAGCTACTAATGTTCCATCCTTTGCAGGGAAACATTCATCTTCAGCTTTTATTGGTGTGGATTACAAAAATTGAAGTAAGACAAAGACTCTTAATTTTTTGTTTAACCGACACTTGTCTATGGTGACCATTTTTATCGCTTCAAGAAACGCGGATGGTTATGCAATCATCAGTAATTATAACTTACCAGTATTTTGATCAATTTGAAATCTATCATCTCCACCAGGTTTCACTGAATATTTTACCTTTCCATTACTGCCAGTCGCAGCAATGCAGAGCAAGTTTGATACAGGGCCCTCTCCTTCATTCAGGGACATCTCATAAGATTTCTTCTTAAACCTAGGAACTGAGTTAGGCGAACTGATGACTTTGATTTTAACATTTGTTTGAGATGTCTTACCAGTCCCATCGTTGGCTGTTGCATAAAGAAGAAATTGAATGTCGCCAGTTGCTCTTTCAAGAACTCGCTTAGTTCTTATCACACCAGTGTTAGATTCAATTTCAAACTCTGACCGGTAATTTAATGTTTCATATACAACCACCTGGTTATCTTTGTCTATTGCATGTATCACGGTGACAAAGGTCCCTTTAGGACTCCCCTCGGGAACCCTTGCGTCATAAGCTGATTCGCTAAAGTCGGGGTAAGCGTCGTCTACATCTTTGATATCAATTGTAACGTAAAGATAGGAATGACGTGGCAGTTTCACTTTGTTTCTTGCCTCTATCATCATATCATAAGTTGCTTGTGTTTCTCTGTCCAGATGGGCAGCAGTTCTCATCACTCCAGTAGCTTCATCAACTTCGAAGTATGGTAGTCCCGAACCGAGCTTTGCCGAGTACACGACGCCTTTCCTACTACTGGAGTCGGAGATTACCGAAGCTTGAAAAACTGACCTACCGACTTCTACATCTTCGGCTACCCTAAGAACTTGTATAGGATCACTGAACACAGGGTAGTCCTGGGAATTACCTGAGTCCTTGACTACAATATTTACCTGAGCTTCTGCTTCTTTTGAAGGGCTTCCCTGGTCCTTAGCTTTCACTGTTAATGTATATGTCTGCACATTAAGACCCCCGCTCACTGTTAAAACACCACTAAATGAATCGATGGTAAATACACTGGAGGCGCTGACTAGTGAGTATCGCAGGTCACTGTTTGAGCCCGGTGGATCTTCGTCTACGGCAAAGATGACGCCAAGACTTCCTTTTACCGGAAATGACGTATCTATTGTAAAATGATATAGCGCATTGGGAAAGGATGGTGCCGTGTTTTCTTGCGAGAAGCTAGAAGACGCGGGAAATGGGAAGTTAGGAATATCTAGAGGTACAGTGATGATAACCGAAGCTATGGACTCTTGGCTGGGATTTCCTGCATCACGCGCAACCACCGTCAACTGATGTAAGCGCTGATCACTTTGAGAATAGTCCAGCTCGCGTACAAGCATTACAACACCCGTGAAGACATTAATAGTAAAAAAGCTGGTCAAAGTTTGAAAGAAGTAGTAAATTTCTCCATCCACTCCTTCATCTTGATCTGTTGCTTGTACTCTAAGTATTGGCGTCGTTGTCGGCGTATCTTCGCTTATAGCGCGCTCGTAGCTGGTTTTGTCGAAAACCGGTGCATGGTCGTTCATCTCTTCGATCAAAATTCTAATCGTCGTGCGAGCGATTAATGGCGGGTTTCCCATGTCTTCAGCTTCTACTGTCAAGGTCATAAAAGGCGTGGTTTTACCTCGTTTGATTGGCTTGCTTGTTGCTTTCAACTGCAAGAAACTTTTCTCCCCCTACATCACGCTTTTCTGCCTTAAAATACCCCTTCTCATTCCCTCTGATGATTTTATAAACTCTTACTCCAGAAGAATCACGATCCTCAGCGTAGCAATTCTCCAAACCCATAACAATCGTATCTGCAGGTGAATTTTCTTTAATGGTTCCGTTGTATAATTCAAAAGCGAACAATGGTGTAAAGTTATTTATATCCTGTACTGTAACCCGTACTGTCGTGGCAAGTCCACCATCTGTCTCTTTGCTTGGTCTTTTCACGATTGTTAAGTCATACTTATTCGGTTTTCCTTTCTCGTAAATGAGCGGTTGAACGGTTGTAATGACGCCCAAAGGTGAGACCTTGAACAGGCCAACTTTGTCGAATGAATCGACTTTCTGAGCGTACAACAGTAAATACTTGTTTCCATTGGTGGGTAGAGGAAGTCCGTCATAAATTTTTCCAGCGCGTCCTCCTTCGGGAACGTTGACTTCGATAAAGTTTTTCCATTCTGCACTTACGTAAGACACTAGGTGCGACAAAACAAAGAAAACAGCTTTGACGAAATGGGGATTCATTCTTCTAACAATTCAACTGATTGAAAACCGTTCCGTCTTAACAGATCAACCATTTGGTAGCAATAGAAAATGCTAGCCTAAAAAGTGCCTGAACTCAGCTTTAGACTCCTCCTCGCTACACCTCAAACAAATTAAGAAACTGATGCTTGGATTGCGCGTCTTTTCGAGGAGTGCATCCTAGGTGTCGAAACGCGTAACAATTGAGTTGAAACTGTGCAAGTGACGGTTCGCTTCACTTGACGCCCCAGTGTCGAAACTTCTAGCTTTTGCTTCTGCGGTTTCGTACAGTAATACCAAGTGTACTAAAAAATCTCAAGTCAGTCATTGATCGATTAAGGAGTACCATTCTTTCCTCTAAAGATTAACAAAAATTAGCGCATAAAACCTTCTTTGAGTGCATATCAGGATATTTTTTCCGTTTTATGTTAGAAATGTATGAGAGACACCTGAGGTTTTTACCATAGCAGGCATTCTGAACATTTAGCACCATGTTTTTGTTAGCAACAGTTTTAAAGCAATTTAATACCTGGAATTCACGAAACAGCTCGATTAATTGCTTTTTCAGGGTTTTCAGTAAGTTTCAAGGTTACTTTTTATAGCAAATAAATAAAGTTTTGCTTTGTTTTTGATTGGTTCTAGCTTAACATCTGCTAAAAGTTTAGATGAAAGAGACGATAGGAATCTAGCGTTTGCGACTGGTTGTATTTTGTTTGTTCAAGATGACCTGTGATGGCTTCCTGCTAAAACACAGTTTGTGCTTTACACAGTAATGGAATAATAAAACAAATGCCAGCAATTCAAGTCAGACAAGATGGCAGACGTCCATAACTTTGCTCGTTCACTTATTATTAATAGTTCCTGGCGCACGCAAATTTCCTTGATAACTTTTTTTCGACATCATTGTGATATGAGCGACAAGCAAAGAAAGAACGAAGAAAAAGATAGACTTGGACTTGAATATCTTACAAAAACGAATAGCTGTTTGTGAAAGCAAAGAAAGTGGGCTTGGCACACCAGAGTGCGGCTTGGCAACGCTGTAGTGTTTTATATTCTTACATACAGCCACGAACGAGGGTTGCACGGAGAAACAGATAACGCCTTAATTCTCCAGGCATGCGAAACCCTGCCGAATATGAACAATCAAGAGCTGTCAATCGTGCATCTCGCAGTATTGAAATGGCTACGCCTTTGTTTATCCATTTGACACAATTAAACGGCATTGAAAAAAAAAAAAGTGAAAAAATTCCAATCGTTTTAATGAACAAAAGAAAAAAAGCTGATTTTACAGTCGGGAATATATATTTACTAATATTTTGGAAGGCACAGCCTTACTTTAGAAGAAGAAGAACAAGAAGACTGAAGGAAGGCCGTGCCTTCTAAAATATTAGTAAATATAAATTCCCGACTGTAAAATCAGGCTTGCTTCTTTTGTTCAATATTTCAGCTGATTAGATGCTTTATTAGGATCCGGTCCATCTTTTTTGTAACGTTAGTCAGTCCTTGCTCCAAAATTCAGTGGTTTTATATATTTCCTTGTCGATCTAATAATCGAAATTCCCAATTCACTTTCAAAGTCCTAAGTTTTTCAACTCGCTGAAACAGAAAATTCAAAAAGGTGAGGCTTCCTTTAAACAACAGCCATTTCGAACATGTATAAAATCAGTCAGTAATTCAGTTTAATTTATTGTACATGTAGATGCTTTGATAACTCTGTATATATGTATTTTTATGTCGGTTCGTAGCAAAATAAATGAGATGAAAATGAATTTACATATATTTTCGTCTGTCTGACAAAGCAAGCTTTGAGCAGGGAAACACTTGACGGATTTTTTTCATTTAATTGAACAAACTAAAATTTTATCACAGTATCCGGATGTCAGCTCAAAACTAGGACATCTCATTTGGTAGGTTAACATTTAAACACTTGTTCTATGGATAACTTTTGTTATCCCAGGAAGATACACCATCTCAGTTTCCTATTTGGTGGGTATCCGTATTCGTACCCTTAGTTCAGGAAAATGCATTACTTATATATGTAACCAGAATACAACTCTCTTCAGTGATATCAAGATTTGTTTTTCTTTAGTAGCTGAGTAGAAATCGGAATCACAGTTTTAATCTGAAGAAGACAGAGCGGTTATGATCTTACGATGTAAATTACCCATTACCAGCAAAGGCTGGCCATGTATGGACCACTGTTATAGTCCTTGAAATATTCCAGGAGAGGCTTAACCTTCTCATGCACGAAGCTTTTAGGCATAGTTAGCTCGCTTTTAGGCACTGTGGATACAAAGTAAGTCGGCACTGACAATTGGGGTAAATATTCAAGGTGGGTGCCATTCGAAAGCATTGCTTAATTTATCCAATGCAACTCGTCTTGACAACGTAAATGAAGAAATCTTAACCATAGAAAGTCAATATTAATGCAACCTGTAACAAACAATATCTAAACGATCGACTAAATGGAAGTCAATGGATGAGTGGTGTTCAACTTAGTGAACGTCACTTGCATCCTGAACAAAAACAATTGACCAATGTACTATTGTTCCAGGAGAAAGATGGTTTTCCGTGGACCGCGATATTGTTTGCTACTGGGTTGGTTTTAGACATATTCCAATAATTTTCGTTCTAGGTCTGTTTGATTTCGTTTAACATCTTAACTTCAGCTGCGAAAAAGTACAAATGAAGGTTAGACTTCGGGTTGGCAATCTGCTTTGTTTTCGGGAAGAAAACGTGGATGCTCCAAGCATCGCCTAGCCTCCCCGCAGACGTCCTTTGGGGTTCGTTTGTCACGCATTCATTTCTCCCCCACGGACGAACCCACGAACCCCAAAGGACGTCTGCGGGGAGACTAAGCATCGCCGGGATTTTTTAGTAAATTAATGAGCCGTCACATACTGAAAAAGAATATGAAACGAGTTTCTAACTGACTGACTGGCTGTATTCTTTATGGCAAAGGATGAATAAAATATAGACACAAATAACAAAACAGCAAAGAAAAAAGCGATTTGAGGTTTCGCGATATCATAAATAAAATACCGTTCATCCTAATTAGCGCAAATAAAACACCCTACAGGCGAGTATGAAAATTATGAAAAATTTTATTATATATTTTGTCGTATTTTGCCATCTCACTTTATACATGGGGGGGTTTTAGAGTGTTGTAAGCTTGCAGCTTGTCTTTTGTAATATAATGACAAACAGCGGTAGCTGTTCGAATAACCTAGAATTTTGGTCAGTTCTATGACAGGTGTGGCCATTGCGAAAAAGAATTCCTTTTGCTAGGCTAAAGGCGCCAAAATGATTTGGTGAACTTAAAAATAATTTTATGTCCCTTAAATCCTAACCGATCGTGATTATAACGACCATCTAAATGAAATTAAGCCTCTATAGGTTATGACTTTCCTTGTACACTAAGTTGAAGTGCGTTGACAAGACCCTATATTGAGGTGTATTTGATGATAACCTGCTTTATCTTGGGCCAAGCAGAAAGTGTATAATACAAAGATTGGTTGAAGAGAACTCTATAAAGACTGCGTGAGAATTGGAAAACGGATCGTTATAGACAGAAATCTGTGTCAAGTCCACTGCTTTGAGCTGATGATACACGATAATGTTGATGAAACTTCGTGGGATTAATTTTGCACGTGTCATCACACTAAAAAAAATGCGTCAGTTGTTTGCAAATTTGCGACCTGTCTGTTATTCTAGTCACTCATGAAAGTTCAAGGCTAAAAAGATTTCTTCCAAAATATAATGTTAACATCATTGATCATAGTTAATCCATTTACTAAAGCTGCTTATGCACCCAGACGCAACATTAGAAGGCGGCAGATGCTCTGATCTCTTGGTTGATTCCCTTGAAGATAAACAATTGATTAGTAAAATAAATGCTTATCCTCCAGACGATATTCACCTTGTGAGGACTTAATGTCTGCCGTATGACTTCGAGCACGCTTCTTATGGGCAAATCATATCGGTTCGTACCCTGAATAGTTCTGACTGCTAAACAAACATTGCATATTCTGAACTGTTGAACTCCTGGCTCCGGAGAGTGGAAGTAAGTGTATAAATGGAATAGGATACAACTGATTTCTTGTAAAATGTAGTGAAACATGTATTAAACCGGGACATCCAACAGACACTTGACGGTGCTCGCTAGACTGATAAAAGTTTACTTAACAGAAATTGTGCTAAGGAAACTTTGGAACTTACTGTCGCTCGTGCGTGTCTGCTCGAGCCCTCTTAATACATTAGGTTTCACTTGCAGTCAGTTTAGAAGTTCTCGTCTAGTTCCCTTTTTTACCCTTTTCTGTTTGTTGACAGAACAGGGTGAAAATTGCATCGTTTTCTCTAAACCGAGGGCCGTATTACTAAACCAAGCTGTAAGTATATCCTATGTATTGTTTAAAAACAATAGCTTATTGTTATCAAATAAATTAACTTTTTAACAAAGCGAGACTTCATGAAAAAGGCCCCTGATCCTGAAAGTGTAGGGCTTTGTGTTTGTCCCTGTGAAGTATAAGAGCGAACTCAATAAGAAAAGCTAGGATATTTATACTCGTACTCATTTTTCTTGGGCAAATCTGTCCGGGGGGGAAGGAGGTGCAATGAGGTTAACCCTATGTGAAGTACCAACCCGTGAAACAAGGCCAGACCATTAAACCAGGAACTCCGTGCCCTACTCTTTACGCGGACACTGAAGTGCGTGGGTCCTTTAACGCACTGAAGATATAACAGTGAAGATGCAGGAGCCTGAGCCTACCTACATTTGATATGTAAAGTACTAGGGAAATGCTGACTTCATGCTCATTATTGAATAATTGGCGAGTCTTTTGTCATTAATAACTACCTATTATCTATGTAAGCAATAACGCAGCTGTGTCCGGCAGTTCTATTGTGGGATCTTTTCAACGCTCTTTGATTGTAAGCCGTGTGGGTGAACAGTTGGGAGTTTACGCAGCATTTATTTTGCTCTAAATTGACAGAGACAGCAAAAATTTCATTTCGCCAATGTTATTGAGAGATCTATCTTATGAGGATCGCAAATTAGGATATTCGCTATCCAGTTGTTTCGAGCGCGAAGAGAGTGAAGAGTGGAGGGACAAAGTCAAGCGCAATACGGAGGATTAGGCCTATGTGGTAAGCTTGATTCCGAAGACAAATACATACATCATATCCAGTTCTTTTATCCCTGAAATCTCTAAATCTAAGATCACTTATAAGCCTCTTTAGGGGCAAACTCTCTATGAAAACAATTTACATAATCAGTCAGTTGCTTCATCAAAATTTTATACATCTACACCCCGCCCATCCGGAGAATTATTATTCCATAGATTTCAGAACGTTCTGAAAGGGCTTCTATCCTTTACGACTTCCTGTAGAATAATTAGAAGAGAATGGTGGAAAATCGATATCATGGAAATATCCCAGTATTGTTCAAGGCAATTTTCATTCAAATTTCGGCTCAAGGTAAAATTAGACTCTCAGTAAAGGCCGAGGAGAATTTTTTAGCGAAGCCGTCAGGGGAACCCAACGAGAATATAGTTCAAAACCACTTAAACATAGCATTGTTGAACGTATTTTAGTATTTAAAGGTAGATATAGGCATATTTTTATCTCTAAAATTTTTTCATCTGTTCGGATTTCCTCGCTGAAAGTCTAGTGGTCCGAAAATTATAGAGATCAAAACTTACCTTTTCGAAAATTTCAGCCAGAAAAAAGGCTCCCGAAAATTCTGACCTTTTTAGGGTAAAAATCCGTTAAAAAAGGGCAATTATACCATTTTTAGATGTTAGAAAATCTTAGGAGAGGCAGGCAAGCAAGAAATTTTATAACAAATGTTACGAAAATTCTAGATCTAAAATCGTCTTCCGAACAGATATTTTCCAAAAATTAACGTTGGGAGCCCCTGAACCGTACTATGAAGCAACATACGGGGTTTGTGTCTAATTGTCAGAAATGACAGTGTAAGTTTGCTTAATGGTTGAAGTTATTCAAGGGAAGGTAGCCATCATGCAATTTTATAAATCTCTCAGACAAGCAGTTAATAATCAAACAATTTTGTCCTGTTATTTCAAAGCCCTCCGCGGTTGCATGGGAACAATCATTTTGCAAAACAGCAAATTAAAAATGATCACACCTCAAATTTTTTTAAATCCACTTGCTTTAATGTAAAGTTAGAGCGACCTTGTACATGTGCAGTGATACAAATGAACACCTTTAAGACTTTTAAGAGCGGCATAAAATGGGATCACAAGAAGACCGGCGAAAACTCAATAGCCTTCCTAATGAAATCTGGTCTTTGATAGGAGAGGCAAACTTTGTTATTCTGGCCTTGACGGACTGTACACTGAGCAGTAAACATTACTCAGGAAGGTACTCAATAGCTGAATTTCAACCGCGGTAAAGGCTACAACTGATTCACCATTATACCCGCCATTCTAAACCACGAACAAACTTTCGGCTGCCATTGACTTCCGTTCTCCGCATTTCCTCTCAGTTTATAATAACGTAACCCCCCGGTGACGTTGCGTATGCAAACTTTGCGTTTTTTCTGCTGTATATGTTATGTCAATATAATTAACTCGCTGACAAGAACTCTGAACTTCGCACAATCTTAACCATACCTCCTTCCGTCTCAGCTCTGCAGGCTCTTATTAGCTCAGTCGGGTGCAACAATAATGAAAATGATTTAGGGCTCACGGACTCGACTCCGGAATAATTTCTCTTTCCTCGCTTGGGTTCATTTTCATAAAAGTGCTATCTTTCAGATGAAGTTTTGTGGATAACAGCTACCAAATTGGAAAAACGTTCCCGAACCCCTGGACACATTTCATTTCAGTAGTGGAATGTATCCCCTCGAAAATTCTTTGTCTCGAACCTTCGACATCTTAGCGAGAGAATTTTGTCTGTCCAAACTCAGCTTGAGTGATCGGGTCAGAAGTCGGACTTCACTTTTTAAAATTACTTCAGATGCAAACCACGCCGTTCCCATCTCACTGAGTGTGAAGACATCTTGTACTCTCTGTGGTCAGGTGTTGATCGAGATATTCTAGTAATCTTTTCCTCCTTTTCATCTTTCCCGATTAATGTGTGCAAATTTAATTTACAAGCACTATTTCAGAACAAACGGTCAAGTCGGTCAAGCATTTGATTAAATCACTGAGGGGGGAAAATGAGTTTTTAATCCATACTGACTGAAAGACAAAAAGCAGTATCATACGTAGTAAAAATTGTCTTATTAACTTTGCTTGGGAGTTCTCTTTTTTTTAGTGTGGAAAAAGAACTTTTAGCAGTCGCACATTTAACTGAGTGTTATGATTTCTTCAACTTCAACTTCAGCTTTATTTATTAAAAGTGTTTTTAAAATAGACTGGCCGCAAAATAGCAACTGCTAATCTATAGGCGGCCCAGTTAAAAGAAAAATAAATGAAGGGAAGGAAAATATTTTAAGTTACAATAATTCTTATATCTATCATAGTTTTATGAATTCTAGCGGAAGGCTGAATTTCCGGCGAACAAAGTAAACGCGACCAGGCGAAAGGAAAATGAGCGTTTTCCCACCTGTTCGATCTATTCCCCTCTTTATCACTTCAGTCATGTAAATCAGTTTTTACCTACCTCGAGTATCGCTTTCAGTTTATCTTTCAGCGCAGCTAAAAAAGCCTTTAGTTAAGTGCTGTAGTGAAACCAAAATCAGTACCAAAGGATGTTAATTGGACTCCGGTCTTTTATGAGATCAGGAAAACTTTGCGACAAAATGGTTTAAAATTACTTTTACGGCTCTGATTCACAAAGCCGAAATTTATGCCAAGCTTAGTTCAAGAAAAGATATGGTCAGATAAAACAGCAATTTCAACAATGTTTATTTTGTAAAATAGCTCAAGACTGACAACAAAGATAGACAAACAGAAAAACTCAGCCGACACCGCGAGTCTTCTCGTCAAAGACTTAAAAATGTCCGCTCATCTTACATGTACATTGTGTGTCCTATTATCCCGGGAGAACTCGCGTATAAAAATAAAGAATGACTTATTTTTACCCCTTAGGGAGACCACACAGCACTGGACGACATTTGTCATTTTATCAAAGTATTTCTTTGAGCAAGGCCCAGACGATTATTTTATGGGTAAAACTGAGGTTTTGGCATTCCGGTTAGCCTGCGGGTAGTCTGCTACACAGCCGTTTTTAGAGTCTGCGTGACGACACTAAAAACGGCTGTGTAGCAGACTAGCCTACGGGCAGCCTTAATTCCGGTCGTCGCATCGGCTACCCTTTCGGAGGGAGAGAAACGAAGCGACGACCCGAAATACGTCTGCGCTTCGCAGGCTACATTCCTACATTCAGGCTACATATCCATCAGTCATTTTCATACAGCATTCAGTACCACATGTGAGGGAAGCCGGATTCTGGAATCGGGAAAAAAAGTTAGCTTGTGGAATCTGGAATCCTCAGGGCTTTTTTGTAGTTGGAGTCTGGAATACAACTCAAGGAGTTCGGAATCCCACTAACGGTGCAATCTGGTTTCCAAGTTCCACTGACAAAGAATCCGAAATCGACTAAGGAAATCCAGAATTCATGGCGTTAGATCCAGAATCCAAGACTGTCTTGTATTCCCTTTCATGGGGCGATTCATATAGGAGCCCCCACCCCACCCGGCTCAGGCTTTTATAACATATACCGTAAAATTTCGAAAATAAGCCACGGGGCTTATACTTTTCAAAGGCCCTTTTTGAGGGGCTTATATTCGGAGGGGCTTATCTACGGAGGGAAATTTGCGTTTCAAAATCGATTGGGCTAGCCCTATAGTTGGAGGTAAATTTGCCGTTTTTGCTTTGTTTTACTTTGTATTTGAGGGCAATTTTCCAAGTACAAGCCACCCGGGGGCTTATATTTGGAGGGGCGATTTAACGGAGGGTTTTTTGCGTTACCGGATGGGGGGCTTATATTTGGAGGGGCTTATACATGGAGGGGCTTATTTTCGGAATTATACGGTATTTGAGTCATTAGCAATTTACATTGTTAAAATTAAAAGGAATGGACCTGTTAAAAAAATATGCATAAGAATTACCACGAAAGAAGGTTTCTTTTCTCTTTTGTTGCAACCTTAAAGTCTTTAAAAAATATGTCGGATGTTTATATAGCCTGATACTGGCTCAATCTAGACTACGAGCAGTCTCTCGTTTTTCTTGGTCCGTCGAGCAAAACGCCCGAGACACGCAAATGACCACGCGCCTGACTGAAGGCGGGCTGCCGCCCTCGTTTCTCGCGTCTCGCGACTTCGTCGCTCAACACTCGCGCGCGCGTGCACTCCCCTTACAAAATCTGAAGAAAAAGAGAGACTACTCGCAGTCTAGGCTCAATCGTGAACGACAATACTAAACAGAATCGAATGCCCGCGCAAGTGTGTCCGGTTCTTTTGCGCTCTATGTTTATCTAAGGAAGCCGTTTTTCGTTTTGTGTACGTGAACCATAATGAAAACCGCACTCCGGTAAATGATCAAATCCACTTCTAGCTACCGACTTAGCAGGAAGCTGTTAGCATTTTTAGCGCTAAAACCTATTTCAATATTATTATCTAATCCAAAGTGGCTAAGTGTTATTATCGATACATGAACCCCTATCTATCTAACTAATCCCAAATTAATGTTCATTTATCTCAAAGACAGCCAATTTAGAATTCCTCGTAATTTGCCAGGTAAGTTTAAACGCCTCGTCTGCGAAGCTGAAAAAAAATCCAGGCCGATTTCATCCATGCCCAGCTCTAAAATAACATTCGTCACACTTTTTATTGGTCTTTTTCAGCAGTGTTTTGTACTTAATACACATTTCCGGTTTCAGCCCTTATTTTGACTTGACGATGACGTTAGTTGAACGCCGTTTTCATTCTCTCTATAAATGGTTTTTAGGAATTTATTAACGCAATATTTTCAAACAAAATACGTCATGGTAGTAAAACAATAATTTATTCACCTGCGTCACACTGCTTTTTGGACGTATTTTTTTATTGTTACGTTAACTGTCCTCTTACAGTGGTGATGTAAAACTTATTAATATGCTATATGTTCAAAATAAGCTAATACAGTTTCTACAGTGTACATCTGAAGGAATCTTATGGTAAAGTGACGGCTTCTTCTTTAACCTTCTCTCGGGCTCTTGTTTGCTGTTATCCAAGCCAGATTTTTCACGAAACAATGCGTTTAATCAAAGAGAATTATTTTTACCAACGAGCATTTTGAGCAAGACGGATTTACTCGCCAGAAAAATTCGAGGAAAAAATAGACTGCAAACACTCAGTGACCCTAACATTGTGACCGTTCAGAATGCAAGTCACGGAGCAGTACTTTTCCTTGGTACACACTCTACTACTATAATTCAAATACAAACTAATATAGTAGATAAGCCATTGAGAAGCCCTAACGAAGGGCTAGCGGTCGAAACTTTAGCTTCTCAACCCCGCTCAGTATCACGGTGGCCAACTTAACTTTAACAACCCACATTATGACTGACTAATGTAGTTTTGCATTAAACCGACTTCCCCGCCTACGCAACCCCACAGTTTTTTGGAAATTAACCCTTGGCCTTGTTCGCAATGTTTCCGTCTCATTTTGTTTTTTCTTTTAAAAAAAATTAAACATAGAGGCCTGAATTGATGTGATCAAACCGCAGGTTGAATAAACAAGGGTAAATTAAAGTAAATTTTGGAAATCAGAAACGAAAGGAATATTTTGATCGGCGTTTTGGCCTGAGTTTTCAAGCAAAGAATATCCTAAATTATGGTTAGTTTTTGAAAACTTGTTTTGAAACTTCTCATTGATTTCTCAAAGAGTAGAAGCAAGTGGAAAAGGTGAATGATTAGAAAGTTTCAATCGTTTCAATCGATTAGAAAGTTTCAATCAATCAATTAAAAGAAAAAGTTTTAGAAATTTTAAAAAGGGAAAAGTTGCTTAAAAAAAATAAGAGTAGTTTTCGTGTGCTTGTTTATGCATTTGACACTGTTGGAAGTCGATCGATATGACACTCAGAATTTGCCGCGCCTTCTTCTGGAACTCCTACAGTTCAGTTACCTTATGTTCGTTCAGCGTTGCCTTTCGAGACATACTAGCATTTGATCATAAAACAGTGAACAAAGGAATGTCCGACATTAGGACAGTGATCTTTGAAACTTGCATTAAAAAGTGTTGGAAATTAATACATGGATTACCAATCGATTGTTATTTGTTTGCTGTGTAAGTCATAGCAACCTTACAGTACTGTTATTGATCAGTAACAAAGAACTCGCGCGCTGCAAATACCTTTCAAGTGAATGGGTGTTTAAAAGGCAAATGGATAGCATTTAATGACAACATGGTGTACAATGTGTTAAGGTTGATCAGTTCCTTAATTATTGTTACTTCAAACAAAATTACGGCAATGTGATGTAAATATATAATGGGACAATGTTTGATTCTAGACCTTTAAACTTCTTGTGAGTTCCTCTGAAAAAATGAACTGTTTAATAGCGCGTGCTTTTTACATACCAAAGGGGAAACTGATTTTAGTGGAAATCGGTCAGCTGGACCGAAAAATTATGTACTTTTATTACTTGAGTGTTACTAAATCGTTTTGTCTAACATTACATTATTTTTAGCTTGCATGCGCTTTAACTTTTCGGTAGTTATTAAAGCGACCGGATAGCAATTTACCGAAGTTTGTAAACCTAGACCGGGTTTGATTGCATACCATTTTTATCCCTAGTTTCTATGGCAATTTGTTTACATACAGCGACATTTAACATGAAAATTAGCTCCATAACGAGCAGGCCATTGTGCATGACCCTGCTGTGTTGTCATTCAAATTAACACTTTGCCTATTCGCAAAGAGTTGTGTTTATTGGCTCAGGGACGGATTAATTTACTAATCACAAAGCTTTGGCCGGTGTGGAATGATCTTGGGATTACTTCGTGTTGCATTTCAAGGCAACGAAAAATGTTATCTGAAGCTAAGACTAAAGGCTCATGGAGGTTCATTTATCTCTGCTTCTATTTACACAACAAAAAGACTTTTATTCTATCTTGATCAGGTGAGAATTACTGTGTTTTGTTCAATAGTCTTCTAATCTTGTCAACACTGTGGTTCCACTTCGCTTGTCAAAAATTTACGAGAAATAATGAAGTTTTAGCAAAAGAGGACCCTGAATAGATCCATGTATGTGTCCAAGTTCGATAATGTTTTGCATTTTCTCTGTTTACTTCGCTGTTCATTTAGATTTGTAATGTCGATTCTTTCAGAAAGTTGCGGAAGGATAAACCTGTCAATGTGACAGGAAATCCACTCTATTCATTCCTTCAGTACACTTGCTCACTGCACGAAGAACTATGAAATATGTCATACATCAACGCGGCTGCCCTTAAAATGACGCGAACGCGAAATGTTTTTCCATTCAAATCTCTCGACGCAAACACAAGTAAAAAAGAACCGCTCGCATTGTATGCTCTTTGCTCACTCATAATACGTTGCATGTTTACAGTTTGAAGCTATAAAATTTGAGTTCATGGATTATTACATATTGCGTTTCATTTGTAATCTACTTTCTGTACTTACAGATGACTTCAAGTGTTCCGCAGCGCATTGTGGGATAGATCTCCCCGGCTATGCAAAGAACCGAGAATATAAATAACCTCAATGGGGTTACACCGCAATTCCGACAGAGAAAGGTTTCTAGTTCTCGACGATTTCATGAGAGCAGGAAAATCGAACCCACGGACATGGCTCGACCTATTAGCAAGAACATGAACGGACACACAAAATATGATATGATTAATGGACAACCCAAGAAAGCATCCGCAACTTCTCTTGATCCTTTCTTCGGAGCTGCCACATTACTGGGAAGTGTAGGATCTCTGAGAGCTGCTGAAACTACGGACAGATATCGAAGAGGGAGTACTTCTCATGAAGAGGACATGTACAGAGATTTCCCTTTTCCTTTCGAAAATTTGGTTTTTGAAGGAGGGGGAAACAAAGGAATGGCTTACGTTGGTGCTCTTCAGGTCAGTGTAGAGTGCGTGTTGCTGTTTTGATTTGTTTTCAAGTTCCTTGATTGTTATGACACTTTTTGCATCCAGCCGAGATTCCTTCGCTACGGCCTGTTTACTCGGCATCACAAAGATAGTTTTACTTCCAGTTTGTTTTACGTGAAAGAAAACGCTAGTTTAAGGTATAGATCGAAGCACATTTGAATTTTGTCTTCTTGGTCGCATTCCCTTCAATGTCAGCAACAACTTTGACAATCGCGATTAATTTGTCGCATTCGTAATGAAGTACGGCTTAACTCCTCGAAGAAAAAATTGTCTCCGTTATGAAACAAAGTGAATTAGTAAGGAATATAACGTTCTATATGTTAAGACGTTTTATATCATTTACTTTGAGAAATACGCTTGAGATTTCTGTTTTATCTGAAGATATTGCGAGTGCATTGTGTAGAGATATTTCGTTCTTAACCTTTACCCATTGTGTGCTAATTTGCTAATTGCTATTAGCATATTGGCATAAAAGCTGGTTTATTGAATATGCAAAAAAATAGACATTTTGAAATTTTAGCTGTTACCTATTCCAAAAAGCAATAATCTTCCGGTTTGACCTTTTCGAAGACAATTTCAACAGATGGTTCGCATTAAAGAAGCCACGAAAGAACATCGATTCCTCGATCATTCTCTCAAAATGTTTCTGTCAAGTTAGTGTTACGTTTTACTACACTCTACTGCTTCGTAACTTGATCATTGTCCTCGACTGACATACACATACATGTATACAGGTAACAAGTTTTACCAACTAAAATAAGTCACATAAGCTCACACGAAGAGGAGCTTTGGCTCGAACAATCACATATGACACACGTTAGTAATTTCTTATTTGCGAAATCATTACTACATGAAAGTGGCTAGCTACATAGTTAGCTAATACAAGCGTGTAATTTTAAATTAAAAATATTTTCTTAAAAAACTTCCATAAGATTAATACATATAACAAACATACTATCCATGGGCAGTATTACATGTATTTGGGTGTAATATTGTATCACCTGACAGGATATATTGAAAAAAAGAATTGTAAATATACGTACGGTCAGCTTACATCAAGCTACTAGTAAGTAGACGTCAGAATGATATTTCCGTTTTTTTTTCTTTTGGGCAGCTAGCCAGGTCATCATAATATCTAATCTATTACATCATTAGTGTTCAGCAAACATTGTTGGGTGTTGTAAGTCAGAAAGCCTTGGAAGGATTGTGGATTAACAAAAAAAAAATCCAAAAATGGATGTCATTTGGCAAATTGTAATTCCTTTTATCTGACGTGAATTTCTATTCCATTTCTAAATCTAAATTATGCAAAATCTGCTTTTGTGTTTCATGATTTGTTGAAAAATTTGGTGAAAATTTGGTTTGACACTCCAAATCCAAATTTCCTTATCCAAAGCACCTTTAATAGAATTTATTAATTTGTTAAAATATGTATGGTCCATTTCCAAGTTGTCCCAAGCCTCTGTTTCAAAGCGAGGCTAAGTGCATTATAGTCTGTGATATAGAAAAAAAAACGAGTTTCTCTGTAGCTGCACCTACTCTCTGGAATTCCTTGCCCATAGACATCCAAAGCGTGTAAACTTTGTTTCTCTTTAAAAGAAAGCTCAAAACATTTTTATTTAATCAATTTTAATTTAGTTTTGTAAATTTCTTATATGTTATTTCTTACCTTTGTCAAGCACGCTAAGATTGTGTAGCTGCGCTCTAGAAGAATTTCACTATTACTATTATTGTTATTAGTGGCTTATTAGCAGAAACAGATCATACTACTAAAGGTGTAAGTTATGTTCCAAGATGTGTCGCCCATCATGGTGGGTGGACCAAAAGCCCTACGTGACTGCTGATCTAATATCATCTAAAAACGGTAGCCACTCTGGTAAATTACACTCTAAAATTTTTTACTAAACTGACCTTATAGGGTTAAATTTTAATCCACAGTATCATTTTGTGTTATCATTACGTAGTGTCCTGGAATGAAGGGTCAAAAGGATTTTATTCTCTGTTTTCACTGTCATGCCATCAAAAATAAAAATTCAAACTATTGCATGCAAGATTTGTAAAACTTTGTATGAAGATGCCATGTTGGTGTCCCTTTAAGGGGTACAAATATGGCCACCGGAAACCAACAGAAACATCTGTTTTTGAGTCTTTCTACAAATGCATGAATTCGTCACTTGAGGAACTCATAAAGATTAAAGTAATAGTTATTCTGAGACAAGGAATGTTTAGATAGCAAAATCTCAAAAACTCAGTAACGTTTTTTACCCATACAGTAAGAGCTTTCCCATCTGACATCTAAATGCAGCATCATGGAAAAGCCTCGAAATTCTAGCATCCTTTGTCACAAAAAGAAGAATTCTTTCAAATGGAAAATTTGTATCAATAAAGGTGTCTACTGTGTAGCATGAATATTTTGCGGGTTCTAATTTCTGCGAATTTTGCGGATTGACCTCGATCCGCAAAAATTAGTTCCCGCGGAAAAAAAAACCACAAAATAAAACGCCGCAAAAATTAACTCCCTTCAGTCAAATTGAAAACTCTGCTTTTAATGGACCTTTTGTGTATGGTAGGGATACGCTTTTGTTTTGTTTTGTTGTTTTTCTGTCCCTTTGTGCAGTAAGATATTACAGTGATTACCGTATTATTCTCCATTAAATATGTAAGTAGAGTGAACTTTGGCTCAACATACTGTAAATATTCTGCTACTTGAACAGAGAATCACAAAAATTAGTTCCCACCAGAAATTTCAGTCATCTCGAACCGCAAAAATTTGTTCCCGCAAACCACAAAAAATTGCCAATCGGCAAAATAAAACTCCCACAAAATTTTCATCCTACATGGTAGGTGCTGTAATACATTGTACGTAGGTGCTCAAAAGAATCAATACGGTAAATGGAACACGTTTCGTTGGTTCGCCCCACTGGAAAATGAAAAAGTGGAAAACTCAAAAGAATCCGTTTTCCCGGTTGAAATTTCTTAGTTTGAATTTTGGTGATGTCAGTTCCAGGTCCAAAACAGAACCAAATGGAACAACTTTTTTCAACGGAAATTCCACTTTTTACGAAATTTCCGGTTTTTTTAGACTACAAAAGCTTCTTAGTTTGAATTTTCTCTAGAAAATGTAGCTAAACTATGCCTGGGTAAAGTTTAACTATTTTGTGAGGAACCGGATCATTGTCTCTTGCATGTAAACTGTTTTATATATATATGCCCTTTCCAAGTTGCCAGCCATTCAATAGATGCATTTTGTTCTTACAAGAATGTGAGTAACTGCTGGTTAACCGGGCAATTTGTATTGTAAGCGTCAGTCCTTGAAAAAGGTGTTATTTGTAAAATCCATGATTTAATGAACCTCTACATAACAAAGTTTTTGGACCATAATGAACAATACTCCTAGCCCCAGTAATTGTAAAATAAATGGAAAAGAACCTTGGTATAATGAAAACTCCTTATAGCAGACACATTAATTTTTACCTGCCCCTTGGCCCTTTGTGATATTGAGGTTCCATTGTAAGAGGCATATATATTCTGCCAAGTGCTTTTATGGGTGCCGTGGATTGGTTTCATTTATGGTACAGTCTTCCTTATTTATCTGACTTCAATGAACAGGTGTTGGAATCTGCTGGCATCTTGAGAAGCATTAAAAGAGTAGCTGGGGCTAGTGCAGGAGCAATAATTGCAGCACTTATATCACTAGGGTATGACTCAAGAGACTTGAAGGAATTCCTGGAACAGGATTTAAGACGGATTTTAGTTGGTAGGTTTTATATCCCACATGTTTGTTTATAACTTCTATAAATGTCAGTCAAGACCTGTGTTTTTACACAAAGTAACCTAGCAATACAGCAGTTTTGTCTTGTCCATCAAAGGGTGACCTGGTCTGCATGTACATGTAATTGTCCAAGTAGAAGAGTAGACTGTTTTTGAGGGTCACCAAATATCAAATCTGGGTCTTGCATGGTCAATTTCCAAAAAATGATACAAAAAAGTATAAGAAATAAATTTGTCAGGTTTCATACCCATTGTACTTATAAACTTGATGGCGCAGATTAGCAATGAAGTGACTACTGCCCTGCAGGATAGGATGCTACATGAAGTCCATCAATCACAGGGTGATCTCCTGCTGGTGTAAACTAAGAGATTTGTGTACAGTTCTCATCTAATGACTCATATAGCTTTCCATAGTAGATACTGCGAAAGTATATTAATATTAATGATAAAATTACATAGCACCAGTTTTCTTTACATGTAGTTTGATGATGCTGATACAGTGTGAGCCAATCAAAAGCTTATAGGGACAGTTTGTAAAATCATAAAAACATAATTTAGTGATTTTTGGTAGTAACCTCTTTATACCATGCAGGACAGTGTTTATAGTTAAAGGCTCTGAAGAGTTGAACCTTACACTACCAAGAAAAACATCTTGCTAGCAAACAGGGTAGGATTGGAACTCTCCCTGGGCCGCCCAATTGGGAGTTCTGTGCTCCTGCAGACCCTTGCATGTAGGCCATGCTGTCTCCATGCTGCTATTTCTGGGTATTTAATAAGTTTCAATGTAATTTGATCTTGGTATTTTTGATTTGTTAGATCATACTTGTGGTTATTGTAGCCTTCTTCCAAACCTACTGAAAGGATTTGGCTGGAATCCAGGGAAGAGAATGTTGAAATGGTTTGGAGAACAGCTTAAGGAGCGGACAGGTGACAGCGATATTACATTTAAGGAGGTGTGTGGAATGGTCATATAAATGCAGTCAAACCCTGCTTCACAGACCCCTCCTTATTACGGACAGTTTGCTTTGTCCCTGAGGAAAGAAAGCCCTTATTAATACATTTTCTCTAAATTCAACCTGCTTAATATGGAATAATAGTACGTCTGACACTTTCTATGGCAGTCTTGAGCAGTGTCTGTATTAACGACGTTTAACAGTATTGTGACTTGTGTAAAGTAACACTGTGAAAAAGAAATTTCAGTTATCAACTGCTAGGATGATGCTCATGTTGTTTTTTTTCTAGTTTTCACACACAATGTAACTATGTTATTCAGTGCTTGAACTGCGTGATGAGTGATTGATTTACACATGCTTTCTATCACAGGGTAAAAAAGAATTTTTTAAAAAAGAAAGAATTTTAATTCTTCAGTACACCAACACTTTAGCACAAACTTTAGTACAAAATCTTTTGCATGTTTTTTTTATAGAAAATGCAAACTAAATAACAAAGTATCATTAAAAGGGGAAAGGTTAAAGTTCATTGATTAATGTATTCTCTTGCAATGGGAAAGTGATTTTGTTTCAGTCAACAATAACAGCTTTTTAATGTCACAGTGAAGGGATACAGCCTTGAAATATGAAAAAATGCCAATCTTTTGTGTTTGTAGAGATGTAATAATAATAATCTTTGACTTTATTTTTGTCATCAGTATTTGCGTTTATGTCAGTGATATTATAATTATTGTGTATTTTTCTCGATAATGTTCTTAGCAGATGGTCAGAAAAGACAAACAGTCATACTAAGTTTTCATTATATTTTGTTGAGACATAAACCAGCTAACTTAATTACATATTCCAAACATTGACAACTTGAACAGAAATTAAAACTCACATATTTAGACTCGACTAGAACAGAGTAGAATAGAATAGAACAGTGGAAATTTTCTAGCACTGGTTGATTTGAGGAACCAGAGGTGAGATTGGAACTCAGCATCTGAAGTGGCACTTTGCTGCTGCTTCACTCTATGTAGCATCTTACCCTGCCCGCCCCCCCGCCCCCCCCACATCGCCTTCTAGTTGATATGTTTAGGATGAAGGTGACAAGGCCATTGACTTGCAGTGCTGCATCTGAACCAAGGTTTTCTGTCAAACTTTTTTGTGGTTATTGTATTTCCAGTCTTGTTGCAAAGGAATTATATGTGTAAAGAATAACTTTGTTATAAATACTTACATGTACAGGTGTATGAGCGGTTCGGTAAAGAGCTGTGTATTGTGGTTACCAACTTGAATCAGATGTCAGTGGAGTACTTTCACCCCAAGACAACTCCAAATACACCCATAAGAAGAGCTGTTAGAATGTCTGTTGCACTTCCTGGTAAGTCTAATGTCTTCGGAATTACTATTACTATTATTATGTTTTAATAACTTATTGAAAACCATTTAAACCATAAAAAAAATGTTGTTAAATACCAGTACTTAAGTGGATCAGCTGTTAGGTATATCTCAGATTCGAGGCATTTTGAAAGTACCTACATGTAAATGGTAGTTTTTCCTACCCCTTTTAAATTTCTAACTTCTTCCATGCATTGTATCAGCCCTCCATAGTCCATTATAGGGAATGTCCTCCCCCCCTCCCCCTTGAGCTGTGTGTCCCTATAACGTAAGGTAAACAAGCTCATTCTTTACAGCGGTTTGTTTAAGACAGCAGTATATTTGTAGTTCCAGGTTTATGTTACATGTCACATTTGCAGATTGTGGAACATCTGGTTCTACAATTATGTACATTTGTCATGAAAATAAAAATAATGTACAGCTTCTACATTTTTGGATCCAAAATGTTGTCAACACTCAGGAAGAGAACAGGAAGAGAAGCAGTAAATTGTTTATGGAAAGAAGAGGCTTATCTGTTTAAGCAATTCTACAGGCTCCTTTACAAAAGAGCAATGTACTCTGTAGTACATATAGTGTAGTTGTAATATCAATATTTTTTGTATGTCTTCTAGATATAATTTATGATAGTTTGGTTGATCTGCTCTTTTTGTTTTTGAAGGTGTATTTCAGTGTGTACGTGAAATGAATAATGATTATGAAGATGTGTACGTAGATGGAGGCCTTTTGTGCAATTACCCAATTCATGCATTTGATGGTGAGTAGTTTTGAATTCATAATTCCAGTTGTTTTTATTTACTTCCCCATGGGATAGCTAATGATGCATCAGGATTTTAGACCTGAAGTCCTGGCCATGTGCCACTTCACTTGTTGTTCCAGTTTGGACAAGCTACTGTCCGTCACACAGTCTCTCCTCGCCTCAGCTTGATATATGGAGTGGATATTGGCAAAATGCTTTTACGGGGTAACCCTCTTATGTACCATTATACCATTCAGGAGGCAGCGGGTGTGACACTGCCTACGTTCCTCATGGCCACTCAACTCAACTCCTTGTATAATTTTCTGCATCCCGCAAATAACTAATGTACTTACAGTGTGGATAGCAAAATAGCATCACTTTCATAAAATATTTCTGAGTGTCTCTATAACATGGTTTGGAATGGGAGGAGCAAACTAACACTAACACTAACACTAACACTAACACTGTCTTGTCCTATCTTTTTGGTCTCATACAAAATGTTCTAGGGCTTAGCAAAATGTTCTAGGGCTTAGCTGTGTGTCTGTCCAGCTATGCCGGGCTCTCTTGTGCCTCACCATTGTGCACAGATCTAATGGATGAAGAGCATACAAACTTCATATGGGCCTCACTCTTTTATGGCATCAACTGCCCTTTTAGTCTAAGCTTCCTTATGAATCAATGTTTGTTTTTAACTCAAGATTGTTTGTGAAGCAGCAAAACATTAATAACTGATTCTAAAGCTCATCAATCTTTTTGACAATTTTTTTCCTTAATAGCGTTTTAGACACATCTTTATAGATAACAATCAAAACAGTGACTACAGCTAGTGCTGATTGGTAATTTTTTTAGGGTGGTGGTTATCAATGGATCCCAAAGACACATTTTTCAAGCGACTACAACCTCTAGAAGATTTTGCAAAGCTCTTTGAAAAATCAGAGAGGTTTGGAACATGGAATAATAAAACACTAGGAATAGTTTTGGTAAGTGGAAAAAAAAAATTATGTGATGAGAAAATATGATGTAAATTCCATTAAATTGTAACTCTTTTGTTCTTCAAGTATTATATTATATTGATCAAGTTTCAAATGATGGTGAAATGTTTTGTAAAAGCAGGTTTTAATAGCGTTGCTTTTTATTTTGGCCTTATTTTGTAATCATTTTGACTTTTTAGCCATTTTTGTAATCATTCCTAAGCCAGTCAGAAATAAGAATGAATTCAAGTATGAGTTACTCTTGGTCTTTTTCCCTTGCCCCTTGCTCAGTATACTTGCTTTGTCGACCTTTTGTAGTTATTTTTTTCTTGTATATTATATAACTGTTTCTTTTTTGTTGTTGTTCCAGTATTCACATACAGAGACAGAGCTAATGAAAACTCTTCTTACTGAACGAGAAGGCAATAAGCCTCCAAAGCCGCCAGCCACCAAGCTTGCCAAGTAATGTTTAGTCCTTGCTTTCATTTTTGTTCTGTTTAACTTTGAAATGAATATACCTAATTCTGTGGTACTTGTGTGTTGCCTAATGCAGAGAGAGACTGGAGAATAATGCTAGAGTAGAGACTCTTATAACCAATTGTGTGTTCTGAGTGGTGGGACTGAGTACTGATTTGCTTCCCACCAATGTGGCCTGGGTTAGAATTCCAGACTCGGCAACACGATATCATGTGTTGTTGGTATTTCTGTAGATACTGCGGATTTCCCTTACAAATGCACGATGACGATATTTGACTACAAGTACCAGAATTCATTTCGGTTTTGTTTTGTTATTTAAATTTGTCAATCCAGCTGAGGATTAAAGAACAATAGCCTTAATTTGCGCAAGAAAACAACAAACTCAAACTAGTAGTAAAATGACGTCATCGTGCAATTGTCCTATTGTAGTATGATTCAAAACATGGCAGATAAGAGCCATTTCGTTGATGAGTTACCTCTTCAATCATATATTTTTAATGTTTATATCATTTCTCCTTTTCGTTGTGTAAGAATCAGTTTTATAATGAAAAATCTTGTAAGCTGGTAACGTGCTGATTATTACCTTGCAGACAGAGACTGAAATTACAACACCAACAGGCCATAATGCATCAGGAGCATCAAACAATGGTGAAGGCTGTTGGAAGATTTATGGCGGTTCGTGACATTACTGTTTTCTTGTTTTTACGTACTGAGCAAAGAATGTAAACTGTGTGGTACTGGTGTGAAGTAAAAAATAGGCACCTTACGAAACTACGACGCGACGGCAACGGTAGTGTCAAAAAGCAATAGATTTAGTTAGCAAAACAACAACTTTGCACGTGCATCACGCTTTTTTGTACATTTCTTTGCCGTCCCTGCGCGACTACAACGTGAAATGACCAAATGTTAAGTTGTTTTTTTTGAGGACGGGAACGGCAAGGCGATACATTCTACCTTCTCTGTCTGAACTGGGCGACTTGGGATAATTAAGAAATGGTTTGAAAGGATGCGAGTCTATTTTTCAGTGACTTTTTCATGGACGTCGCCGTTGTCGGATCGTGAGGTCCCTAATGTAGTAATTTTAACACTTAAAACTTGCTCTTTGTAACGACACCTAACACTCGCCAAGTGAGGTAAACACCAATTTGTTTTGAACTCTCACTTTCAGAATGAGGCCAAAATCTTTCTTATGAATGATTTCATTTTGAATGGGAACAAAAATCTACTTTCGTATCAAAGACTTCATACTTTCATGCTTAATTAACCTCGTTTTGAAAAATAGGTTCAAGGCAACTCCGTAATGTCGTCAGTGTTACAGAGCGTGGGAATGCAAACCGATGAGGTCACAAAATGAATTTCATTTTCTACTCAGCTGAGAAGCACTTTGGCTAACCGTTTCTTTGTAAAATAAACTAAAAGGCGTGCGGAATATTTATTTTGATCGGCGGAGAAAGCCAGGTTCCTGCGTTAGTTTCAAAGGAAACTGTGATGCTGAAACGTGATGAGAAAGTCAATTATTGGTAACTAACATGGAAAGATTTAAGGGAGTGCCGTTTCTAGCGCTAGTCCTTCGTTCTGACGAAGAGCAAGCGATCGAGACGTCGTGTAACAGAATTGGAAATAATTAATGGTGCTGATATCAAAGCTTTCTTCATCATTTTACTATTCTACTCTGTATCTTGTAGGAACTGCAAAGGAACAATCTTGATGAGGATAGCATTATTAATTTAAAGGAACTAAGAGGGGTCTTCAAGAAGGTACTTTACTACTTCTTTTTAGCTGGTAATTTTGTGTTTTTTTTTTTTTAGATTACGAAACAAGGCTTGGTATAATCAACCTCGCTATTATCGTTCTTTTTATGTAGCCAGTAGAATTTACGAGGGAAGATGCCGAGTTGTTATTCGGCCCAGATGCCGATTACAGAGCAGCCTTTGAAGAACTTGATACAGACGAAGATGGAGAGGTTAGAACGATTTTGCCTCCATGCGCAGTCTAATTAAATGAAGCCTTTTCCACGCTGATGCGTTTTCGCGAAAAAACCTTCGCCTTCCTCCTTGGTAACAGAAAATGCGTAAAAAAACTCCGCGTGTTTGACAGTTGTGTTTTGTTAACCTCCAAAGTTACCCGGCCGTACTAGAAGAAATGATCCCTCTGATGTCGATTACGGTTGTCGATTGCCGACGGCGTTTGCAAGTAATAATAATAATAATTAAAGATAATAATAAAAAATTTGTAAGGCGCCTTTTGCAAGCAAATATGTTCAAAAGCGCGTTATACAATACAATAATCATGTTAAAAAGAAAGTAAAAGCTCAAATGTACATAGTAAGTGAAAGTAGATTGGTGTATTTGGTTCATACATACCAAATGAATAGGGCTACACACTGTAAGGCCTGCATCTTACCTGGTAACTTACTACTGGGGTTGGAATTTACCGGCCTGGTTGCCTTTAGCTAAGTCAAAATGATTCTGGGGGTAAAATGGTTGATATAAACTTTTGTTTTGCAGATTACGTTTCAAGAGTTAATGGCATTCATTGAGAAAAAGGGAGTTAATCTACAAACGAGATTTCTTGGTTATGCTAGGAAAGAGATAAAACATTTAGGAGAGTTTATACAGACACTTCAGGTGAACAAGAAAAGATTTTTACTCAATGCAATGTTATTGGTGATTCTCAAAGCTCTCGTGATAATTCAAGGTTGTAAGCGTTCTTAGTTGTTGTGTTGAACTTCAAAGACTGCTGGAAATAAAATCAGGAGCCATGATATTGTAATCTATATGCCAAAAAAGGTAGAACTGTAGCTACAAAAAGGGATTGAAATACTGTATTTTAGTGAAATCAATGTGCACGCAAGTAATGATTATCCCGGTGGCGGAGCCTTGAAAATTGCGTGTTGTTTGTTGCTTCATTTTGTTTTATAAGTAATGTCTAATACCTGTTCACTTATCAGTGAAATCTTCATCATAAGATTTACAACTGTTCTTTAATGCAATTTCTGCCCTTATCTTTTATTATAGACGGCGTTATCTGTCAATGTTAAAAGAGTTTACGTCGAGGTAAGTGGTGCGCCTGCGTATTATTGACAGCAGACTAGTCCTCTTCTTTCTGACTCATATTTTTCTTCCATGGACACTTAAACAATCCCGAGAGTCGCGCTCTTTCCAAGAGTCTCAGGCATATATTCTGCAGCCAAGATGCTCTCAGATACATCTGTTGTTATTGGCCTGTTGACTTTGCCTGCGTGCAGAGGTCTCCTATTTCCTTTGTTGCAAGGAAATAGGAGACGTCTGCGCGCAGGCAACTGTAGACTACGAGTGGTCTTCATTTCCCCTCAGGGATGGTTGTGCGATTGAAACGCGGGCGCACGTGAAATAACCCCAACGCGTCTGGCCTCTCTCCCGTGGGGTTATTTCACGCGCGCTCGCGTGAAATAAATGGGGAATACTCGTAGTCTGTTGGTCTGCTATTGTTTGAAGGGCCTGGGCCATTGTTTAGGTCGTTCATCTATTGCATCCTTAGCTTACTACTAAATACGTTCTGAGGATATTCGTGCCACTTCCATTTGTCCCGCCCTAGCTGCAATGGTGTGGTGAGAAAAACCCACTGACGTTGACATCGGTTTATTTAGTAGTTTTTTCTTCTTTATTTCTTTTCCTTCATAGATCTATTAAATGAAAACTTTTTTTGCCTTTTTGCTTACAGAAAAAAGATGTCGAGCGAACGATTGGTATAGATACTGATTACATTGAGACAAACGATTTTAACCTGGAATATCAGGACAAACAGTTCCTCGTTGAAGTAAGTATCTTCAAACATAATTTGCCACCTTTTAACGTAGGTCATGAGAATTTGCGAAAATATCAAGTTGAAAGTACCTTCAAGGAGACTTTATTTTCTATCTTCTATTAAGTTATTTTGGAAGTTGACCAAAAAGCAGTTTGCAACAGCACCATGTAACACAGAATCTGAGGCTTATGTTAATGTAGTTAAACCTTTATAAAGCAATGAGTTTTAGGATGGACAATTGAGTGTTTAGCACGGGTTTGACCAGCTAAAACTAAATCATAAGAAGAAGGACCATCAGTCACAAGGTGAAAAGGGATTTTTACTCTCCTTGCGGCTAAATAAAACAAATTTACACTTGTCGTCGTTCACATCGTTATTTCCAGTGTCCTTTTCGTCCCATCCCCTGGAGCCTGGGAACGAAAATGCGCCGTTCTTTCAAAAGGCTACTGATATCCTTTTTGTCAAGGTCCTGCTTCGTCGTTTGCCATCCAGTAAGGTGGTTTTTGTACCATGTGATGTACCATCTCGGTTAGGGCGGTACGTGAAGTCACCATTGAAGGTCCAGCGCTGCCCTCCTCGAAAGGAAACTAATTTTACTTACTGTTTTTTCCTCTAGTCCGGTAGACGAGCGACAAAAGCGTTTCTTCGAGAGTACAAACTTCGCCGCACTCGTAAAGAACAAGAGTCTGCTCTGAGCGCTTCGCGGAATGAAGGGAGGCCACAATCCGGCATTACAGTAACTGTTAGAAGTGCTTCAGGTTCAGATGACAGCCCGTTCCAGGAAGATCCTCCACCAGAATACGCCATTACACAAAACCGTACAGACTCAAGTGTAGCACAGGCCACTAACCGTTACCCACGTGACTCTATTACGTCAGTTACGTCATTAGAAACGAGTCAGCAAGAAAATCCAGTGCGGCGATCGTCAGCTGGAGTAAAATTACCTCCCTTGTCACGTGAAAGGGAAGCGTCACGTGAGCAAAGGGAAAATTTAGCCAGAGAGGGATCTGGGGATAGCGTGACCAGCGCACGTAAGGTAGATGTTGATGTAAAACGTAGTCCCCTCCCAAGTCGAAATCAAAGAGTTGGTGACATTTCGAACTGAGTTTCAGATTGCGAACTCTAGGCTATTCTAGGTTGATAGTATTTATTGTCCCTAGGGGCGCTACAGTAAAGGCGTATTGTTAGCATTTATGCTCATGGTCCTCAGTCTTGGAAAGATCGTTAAGGTTTTTGATCACGGAGACGAAAATTTGACTAGGGTGTTCGTCTGTAAAAAAGTTAGTGAAAGAAAGAAAGAAACTTTGATTTTATCGGTATACAAAGAAACAAATGCTAATACGTTTGTGACACATGCACTACCTCGTCTCCAGTTCGCACCAAAGCGAGGGCAAGTAAATATTTAAAATAGCTTTCCTGTGAACGCGCTCTGGGCATGTGCAGTGAGATGTTCTTTAGTGCGTACCTTGATGAAAACGTTTTCAAGTAGTAAATTTATAAAGTAGAAAGATTTACAATGATTTCTCAAAAATCAAGATGTAAAAATTAGTAGGGACGATAATTTGTGTACTGTGCACATTGATTTTGACAATTCCATTTGAGTTCACTGTGTTATAGCATTCATGCCCGATTGTCTACATTGCCTCCTTTATGATCATTTACCGTCTTGTTAACTGGTGTTCAATCATGCGCAATTATACATTCAAAACAGATTGGCGGGTCCGATTGAAACAAAGTACAACTGCCCATGATTTGGAAAGTTTCCGGTTATTTTGATGACTTGTTTCCTTAAAGGTTCGTCTAGTTTTCTTCGTTTCAGCCGTGAAACATATTTCGAATTTAGTGTAACTGGTTATATAGGGTTGGGAAAAAGAATCAAACACGCAGAGCACGTCGACTACTTTTGATGAATAAACTTGAGGACTTACCGTTTAGTTTTGAATTTTATCCTATAAGCCGCATCAATGATCAACATCCTATTTCCACGTATAAAATCACTGTTTAAAAGAGCAGTTTGAAGAGTATTATTCAGCTTTTTTGGCAAAATAATTGATTAAAAACCACATTTAAATATCGTTGTTATACTCTTGTATTGCTACTACATACGTTGAAAGCTAAAATAAAATGAATTTTAAAAGGCATAATGAGGGAGACGACGTTACATTGTCATTTAAGGCACAAGACAAGAAGTCGAAAACGTCTCGACTATTATCCATGCTGCCATATTCAGTATTCACCATTCATTTCCCATGTCACTGATTAGGAGAATTTGTTTAACAATCAGGACCGTACTGATCATTTCCGTAACTCTCATGACCTTTCTGTTTGATTAAACAGTGATATTGTAAGGAAAATTTAGATGCTGATCACTTCATTGATCCAAACGTTTGAAGTAACCGTTGATAGAAATTATTTCCTTTGGGGTTACTTTGTGTTTTCTTTACTTTGGAGCATTTTGGAGATCAGAATCCTCAATGAGCTGTCTAAAAATCAACGAAATTATCTGTGGTTGTCAGGCTGGTTCCCGCCACATCTTAGTTTTTCATCTATTATTATGCACCCGTGCATGTTAAGCACTAAGGTGGGCTGAGAAGGGGGGCGGGGGGGGGGGAGCTATCACAGTAATTGGGTAGAGATTTTGATTTTATTCTCCGATACCATTTCTTGCCTAGACTGAAAATCTGGAATGACGAATTTTCCTGGATGCGCTTCTTCCCCCCTTCTCCTTAAGTCTTACCCAACAGGTGCACTAAACTTTTTAAGGACGATATCGTCTTTGTTCAGTACTGCGCGTGTAAGGTTTTCCCAGTCACAGAAAGTTGTAATTACCATTTAACACATCATTAATTTTGCTTGGCTTGTCACTATGTAGGAGAATGAAATCCAAAAAGAAAAATTTGTGTAAACATGTAGTTTTCAGAGATGATAAAGTTTCCTTTTTTGAAATCTTTTTTGCATATGTTTTTTTTATTAGTACATCTCTGCTTAGTTACCTCTGAACTAGTTAGTAACCCCTTTTTCCTTGTAACTATCAGTAATGTCAGTAGTGCAATGTGGTACTCACAAACTAGGCATTAAAATTGAGAAAATTTAAAACCTACGAGCTAGAAAGTTTTATACGAGCCATGCTCAAAACTTGGAGGAACAACTTTGAATGGAGGGGATTCATGATTACTTTAAAAGGTGAAACTGTTCTAGCAAATAAGTGGTTTATCTAAGGATGCATTCGATTGGTCGCATTGCAGAATAGTAGATCGTGTTTTTGGACTCGTTGGAATAAAGAGGGTCAAATGCGCCGTTTAACAACCTCGAGTTCTGTGATGCATAGAGTTTTTTCTCTTGATACGAAATTGAAGTGCAAATTGTATATTTTTATAACCTCCTTTTTTTAACGTTAAGTGTACCGTTGCGAATAATTTGCTGGACAGATCAGGGTTAATAATCCTAGAAAATGGGACAAAAATTTGCTTTGTCAAGAAAACTAGTTTATCTTTGGAAACCAAACATGTAGCTCACAAATTGTATAATTTATTTAAGTTCTTGTGAAAAAATGGAATGTATTGAATTATATTTTTATGATGATCTTGTGTTTACTCACGTTATACACGAAATAAAATTTATTTGAAGCACAGAGTGCTTTTGTTAGTAGATATAATTTGAATAGGGGTGATTAGCCATAATACTACAAACTTCCAAGGGCGATGAAATTTCTCTTTCACTTCAGTGGCGGATCCAGGGGAGGGGCCCGGCCTCCCCTCCCCTCCCCTCTTGTTTTTAGACCAAACTGAGGCCCGAAAAGTGGAAAAAAATTTTTTTTGAAGACCGGCCCCTCCCTTTATCTCAAGGTCTGGATTCGGCACTGCACTTATCTCACAAGTAAGCCGAGCAGGCCTAAACAACCACGCAGACGGTTTCGCATGAACAAGTCTAAAATTAAGTACTCTGGTGTTGACGGGTTTACCTACAATGTTTGCTTTGTTTCTCGAATTTGGCGCCAGAACTCTTCCCTAGGATCTCTGACCTTTTCTCTTCTCGGAAAACCGGGCTGAAATTTCTCATATGAACCCAATCCTAGACTGCGAGTAGTCCCTCATTTTTCCTCAGGGATATTTATAGAGCGAACGAAACGCGAGCGCGCGTGAAAGTCACCCCACGAGAGAAAAGACGATGATTTTCACGCGCGCTTGCGTTTCGTTCGCTCTTGACTATCCCTGAGGAAAAATGAGGGACTACTCGTAGTCTAACCCAAGGCGAAATTCATCCCAATATATACCGGGCCAGCCCTGTCAACCGGGCTCATGTGAAAAGGCCCTTAGCCGTTCTTTTCGCGTAGCCGGGCCGGGAATTTCGCCTTTGGAGCGACTTTGGAACAGCTTTGATTCAGACGCCGAAATTTTTAAGAACCGAACCTAATGTATAAATTATTATAACATATTTGGTAAGCATTTTAACTGAAATGAGCATTTTTGCCTTTTGAACTTAGTTCAGCAACAAATAATTTGGCGTCTGAACCGGGCGGGGGCCTAAGACTGGCTTACCTGTAGAACACCTTCCCAAGATTCCTTGTTATTTCCCATATTTCCTTGCGGTTTCACCAATACTTTGATTGCTTGTTGAACGCCTTCGGTCTTGTAGAATTTTGCATTCTGTGTAGCTTTGGGAGAGACAGATTTGCCTTGAACACTAAGGTTTGTTATGACAAAGTTAACTATTGATTACGGATTGATCTTACTGGGAACGCGTTACTTTACAGCTTCATAGTTCATGAGCAAATCAAAGTAGAAACCCTTTGCACTTGTACTTCCGCTTTACGGTTTTTCCGATTTCTCTATAAAATCACATTATTTTCTCAATGGCCGAAATGGCATCACTCATGTTCCAGATCGCATAGTTTTTTGTTCTGAATTGCATCATGTCTTCTCAAAATCGCACCATTCTTTATCAAAGTGTCCACATAAAAACGCCTACATATTAAAAGCAAATTAAGAAATTTGATCATACAAATCAATGGGTTCTTTCGTGCTGGTGTAAAGGTGTCTGGCAGTCTGATTTTCTCCTCTTTTGAGTAGTTTATGTGGTAGTTATGCATGGTTCAATTTCACATGTTACTCTCCCCACCTGGCAAACTCTGGAACAGGTTGTCAGTGTGCCTCTTCTCATTTGCCTTGTGTGTGCATGTGCTATATTTTGTTGGAATACAGTAAAATATAAATCAATGTTCTTATGCATATGTTGTACCTGAGACAACTTTGTGAGGTCCATTAGGAGCCTGGCGTTGGGAAATAGACTGCCGACCTAGAAAACAAGTCAAATTCCTGTAGGTATACCCAAGGGGCATAAATTATAACAGATTAATATTGTACCATGCATTAGGGATTAGGATTAGTCAAGAATTGGACGTTTGTTTTAGGTAATTAATAGTATTGAACTCGAGAAAATTTCTAAAATCATATCCATCTGCTGGACACTAGAGCTGACCCTGGTTACTACAAGCATTGGCCTTTCATAAGAAGCAAATATAAAATAGAACCAAAAGAAAGATGTTCAATTCTCCACTGACTAGATGCATTTACCCTGGCAATTTGAAATCTTAGTGACAGCTCTGGGACACATAATCACAAGGTTAATCTGTTTCACATACAGAATGAGATTTACAACCATTTCTGGTCTCACTATTTAACAAACAAACCACTAGATCAATAAAATATTGTTACTGACTAAAACCGTGCATTGGGTAATTTCAAAATGGATATAATAAATTGGTTAAGCAGTTATAAAACTTTGTAACATAAAATGTTTATTGTGGTCTTATAAAATTTTATTTATATACCTGTCATTTCAAATCCAACTCAAGCTGTGCACTAGTTAAATTTTGATATTTGCACATGATAAATCCAGCCAAACACGAGGAAACAGAGCCATTTATTTATTCATTTATTTTGAAATTACTTGTATGATTTCAGACCAAACTACACTTGACTCCGTTCTTTGTGCACTGTGGTAAACAAGCTGTGGAAATCAAAAAGCTAAAATGTGAGCTGTGCAATATCACTCCAGAATCTTGCAGGTAAGCAGTCTTGTGGTGCAGCTGTTCTCAGTGTTGTTATGCAGGTGTGTTTAAAACACCAAATAGCAAAATGGTGAAATGACTAAAATTATATAAAAATAATACATATTTTCCTTTTTACCGGTTTTCCAGAGTTTCTGGGGTTGTCATGCACATTCCCGACCAGCCATAAGATTTGAAGGCTCTGTTGACGAGATTGTTGTCATGCAGAGCTTGTGTGATGTGCGTGCGCAAGCTCATCACATGTTCCCGAAAATAGCTCTTCCTTGGGGAAGTCAACTGAGATGGCGGAGCGTATTACAAAGTGAAGCTGCCATCAATTTTTACAAATATGAGGATGAAGAAGTAATAAGTCCAAAGTCCAAAAAAATGTTGCTAATAGTTCCACAAATGAACAGAGTATTATAATTTCGTGCAAGTCTATCCTTATTATAAACAGGGTACTATTACCTGCATGATTGATACGATTTGCTAGATGAAATTTGTTTGCACTCCAAGTACACAAAAGCAATAACTATAACGTGAAATTTGCTCTATTGCAATTGCCAATAAATGGCTTTAAAACAAGATGGCATGCATTTTGTTCTTTGTCCTAAACAATTCAAGGCTGTGCTCTACTTAAGGAAAATTGAGGGGAGCCCAGTGCTCTGAAACTGTAAAGTCTAGGGTACCCAGCATATGATTTGTATGAAAAATCTGAGATTTTCTAGTCGCCCGAGGGCAAAAGTTAAACACCAGAGGCCACCGGGCTCTGCTAGACAGGGCGTGACTTGTATTAAAGGATTTTTTGGCAGGGGTTGGGGAGGCAGAAACTGACACCATTTTGAAAACCGAGAAGCCCCTGGGAAGAGGCGAGACCCTTGGAATGATAAAGATAGGTCACGAACAGAAAGTGACAAATGTTATGGCACAACAAGATTTGTGAGTTTTTACATGCTGAGCAGAGTTTTGCCGGTTCTTAGAATGTAAAGAAATAGCGACTGGGCACAACAACAACAACAAAAAAACAGGGAGTCATTTGTTTTTAGTGTTTAGAAAAGTCATTTCACTGTTTCGCTCCTTTGTGATCTCACCATTTTGTCATTTTGCCATTTCTTGTTTTAAACACGCACTTGTCATGCAATGATTCCCCCTCCCCCGGGCCACAGACAGCTTGCTGTAAAACAAAAGCAAAAGAACAATAACAATAGACTCTAAGAGAACAATGTGCAAATATACAAAATGAAAACTTGGTGATCATGATATGAAATGCTGGTACTAATATTTATTATTGTTCGTTCAGCATAATATTTTGCTGTTTCTCATGATTGGCTTAAATACCACTGCTTAAATTCTTTGCTTTACAATATGCAGTATATTTCTCTAATATGTGAGTGCAACATGACGTTTCCAGGCAGCAGTGTTGACAGCATGACTGCCTTGGACTGAGACAAAAAAAGTGACAAGTGTTGATGACTTTGTTTTGTATATTTTTAGAGTTATCTCCACTATGCCAACTGGACCATTACTTGTAAAGTTTGGCGGTATGTCAAAAGTGAGTGAAATTTCATTTATTTTTAATAATGATGATGAGTTGCAAGTTGGTAGCTGTGCTCTTTACAGCAATTTGTGATATATCTATAGAATCTGATAATCTTGTCCTCATAATTATCTGGAAAACATGGCTCTCAGGCTGTTTTCTGTCAAAGCGACAGTCCATTTTTCTTTTAGACTGTTCACAGTCCCCTATTTTTTCGTGGTGAGATAGTTCAGATATACTGCGTCGTACCGTCACGGGTATCTTGATAACGAATTCGTTGTGTTTTGTGGGAACTAATTTTTGCCATTAGGACAGATTGGTTTCTCTTGCTGGAAATTAATTTTTGCGATTTTCAGAAAATACCCCATACCCAGCATTGATAATATCTTTGTCTTTATTGAGTACCTGCAATAGAAAAACATATTTTGAAGCAATAAACCAGTATTTCGTTGTTTCTGAATGAAAGAGACAAGTTGTGATTGAACAGACATGATTTGTTAGTCCTGTATTCTTGTGAAGTGAATTTAAGTTAGAGAATATTGACTCTGGAGTTAATTTTTTGTGGGAAAAATGTTTGCAGGAACTTATTTGCGCAGATCGCTGGAGAAACCGCAAAAATTAGAACCCTCAAAAATCTTCTGCAACACAGTATGTTAATTTGGGACCCAGACTCTTGGTTATTGTTATGCTTTACCCTTGTATAAACCTGTACCATAATGACCTGATAGACACCTGGAGTGTCCTTTTAATTTTAGGGATCTAAGCGGGGGTGTTTAATAGATACAATGTAGGAGGCATATAAATGAGAGAGGCATCTATTCTCATAACTGGAACAAGTTCAACAAAACTAATATGCTTTGAGCGAAAATATAATAGGGTTTAAAATAGTGGAATATCTGTAACTGGTCAAAATTAAAGTCCAGTTAAAATTTCTTAAGCTAGGTTGATTGTCAGTTTCCTGTGTCTCCTAGCCCTGATTATTTGTAAATTAGGGCTAAGAGACAATGTGAATTGAGAATCAACCTAGATTTAAAAAGTTTAACCAGAATTTACTTTTGACCTGTAACATAACTACTCCATCAATTGATCAACTAAGCCCTCTAGAGATTCATATCACTCTTTCAAACCCCAACATCGATGTCAGAATCCTCGCTCAGGATTATTTTGTTTCCATGGTTAGTCTGTCCTTACTTTGAACCTGACATTGAGCAAGATGAAATGTGTAAAGCCTTGTTAATCAAGCAACAATCTTGGACAAAACTGTTGAGAAAATTGCGCACTTGGGGGGCATTTTTTCTAAACTTCGTAGCCGACCGATTCTTCCCTCCCCCCTTCCCCCTGGAAGCAGTGTTGTTGGGTCTTCAAAAGAAAGCCGGATCCCTAAGCATTTGTAGGAAGCAACTTTGAACTGGGGGAGGGGGTTTTGTTTACGCAAAGTCTTTGATTTGGAAATAGTTTTGTTGCGTTAGGTAGTGCACATTAATGAAAACATTTTCTCAAGTAGTTTTGTCCAGGATTGAAGAAACTGAATGAATTGAATGATTTTGCTCCTTTTCGCTAATTCTCAGTATTTTGGAGTAATTCTCATTGGTGGCGTCTATTAGGAAGGGGGCATTTATTAGAGAGGGGCGTCTAATACAATTCTAACAACTTAGAGGGTGCATCTGTTAGATAAGAGACGTTCATTTGGGATTTGGTTTCTATTAGGTCATTTAGGGTAAACTATCACTTTTTTTACCAAGCATGTGTGTATACTGTGTTAACAATAATTTTATTTCCTTTCACCTAGAAATTTATTTGAATGCTAAACGTAGCTCTGTACCTTTTCTCTTCACTGCACTTGTGTAATCTTGAATAAGGCTTTATTGGCACTGTGTTTTTGCTGCATTCATCAGATACACGGTTCAGTAAGTTGCAGAACAAACACTTTTAAGTTTTTTTTCTTAACTTCAGATATGGACTTGTTGGTGAAGTGGTATTTACAGTGAACAATTTTTTATTTACCTACAGCTATACAAAAATGACAACTAGAAGATGAAGATTTTGAATCTAAGAACTGAATCAGTTGGTTGAATAGCTCATTTGAATGAACAAGCACCTTGGATTAGGATGGCAGCTGCAGCACCGTCACCCCTTGCCAGCTCTGAAGAGAAGACAAATGGATGCAAGCTAAGCAGGCTTCTTATCGATGGTGGAACAACAGTTCTAAGAAATGTTTTCAATTATCATCATCCTCCAGCCAACTTGGCTGCTGATCTCCGTGCCAATTATTTAATCCTGGACAACCTCTTCCGGCGAAGAGTTCTAAAGGGTCATCAGTGGGACAAACTCTTCCCGCCTGGGGGAACCGCACCAGACTCCAACACGTTCGACATCACTCTTTTATTCCTTCTTTTGACCAACATTTGTGGACTGGCTCCTCCCGGCACAGGATGGCACACTAAACCAGCCCCTAGTGACAACTCTCACGAGGCGAATCTTGCTCGTGTCAAGTATTTCCGTAACGAGTTGTATGGTCATGTGACCAGTACTGGTGTTGATGCTCATTCCTTCTCTGTTCTGTGGCGGGAAATCAGTGCTGTTCTTGTAGCTCTTGGGTTACAGCAATCAGAAGTTGACCGACTGAAGGCAGAGCGAGGCGGAGAGGAAAATTATCTTGACGCGTTACGTGAGTGGGCTGACTGTGAAATTGACATCAAAACACAACTGAAGGAAAACACGTTTAAGTTGGAAGAAGTACACCAAGTTGTTACAGAAATACGTCAAGCTCAACTCAACACGGACCAGGAGGAAGAAATCCTACAAAAACTTGCAAAGGTTGACACGGAAAACATTATTAGACACCATTCAGAAAGATATTTAGAGGGAACCCGGAAGTCTATCGTCACCAAAGTCAATGATTGGTTGAAAGACGGCAGCTCTCCTAATCGTGTGATGGTGATAGTTGGAAATGCAGGCATGGGGAAGTCTGTTATTGCAGCCGAGTTGAGCAAAAGGATGTTCCAAGAGGGTAAATTGTCTGGAAGCCATTTTTGCCAACATGACAAGGTGCGCCACAGGAACCCCAAGGTGATGCTACAGTCTTTAGCCTATCAGCTGTCACATTCTCTGCCAGACTACAGGAAAGCTCTTGTAAAACAACTCTCTAGAAACTTGGGTGTGGAGATCAATGACATGGAAGTGGGGGATCTGTTTGAGTTGCTATTCGAAGAACCACTGAGCAGACTAACCGACCCCAATTCTACCTGTCTTGTGATAATTGATGCTTTAGATGAAAGTGAGTACCAAGGACGCAATGAGTTACTTGATGTGATTGCCAGATGCTTCAACAAACTCCCGCTTTGGATTCGATTCCTGGTGACAACACGACCAGAAATTAATATTTGCGACAGCTTAAAAGGTCTGCAACCCCTGCTGCTTGAACCCAGTGATGAAGAAAACTTGAAAGACATTCGCTTTTTGTTTGAAAAACGGTTAAGCTGTAAGTTACAAAGTGAGAATCATGAGGTTATCTTTCAGGAGCTTGCCCAGAAGTCAGAAGGATTGATTTTATGGGCCCAGCTTCTAACAGATTTCATTATTGAGAATAATTTGTCATTTCGTACCTTGGAGGAGCTCAACAGCACCGTACCCTTGGGTATTTCATCCGTTTATGAGCGTTACTTCACACGTTTGGAGAGTGCACTTAAAAGAGAACTGAAGTCTACCGAAGAGCAGTTTCTGAATTTCCTTTGTGCGATTGTAGCCGCAAGGGAACCGCTGCCGCTTGGGTTTGTTTCTAAGCTGTTACTACAAGGTGAAAGTTCGTCAAGTTTTCAACGAAAAGTGAGCAATGCTGTTGCCTGTATATCGTCGCTTTTACCGGTTCAAGACGGCTGTGTACATTTCTTTCACAAGTCACTCAAGGACTGGCTGTCTGACAAGACTCGCTTTTCGCAACACAAACATATTGTGAACGAAAACGAAGGTCACCGCATTCTGTCCGGTCTTTGTATTGGCGAATTGGACGAGGTAAAAAGAAAAGGTGTCCAACATTCAGAGCAGTTCAGTGACACCACAAAGTACGCACTGCAACATGGCGTTAAACATATTCTAGAGTTGGATGAAGATACAAGACCATGCAGCCTTGAAGATATTGTAAATTACTATGTTCTCGACTTGGAAATTGTGTATGCAAAGCTGCTGGTTAATATCACAGTTGCCTCAGAAGATATTGTAAGCATCATGAAGTTTTGTGTGGAAAAGCAACACTGTGTTGCTGAGTCGTTGAAATTTCTATTAAATACGCACAGTAGAGAACTGAAAGAACTTCCTCATGTGATCTTTCAAACTGTATTGAATGAAGGAGGACCGGACCTGTTCTCTGAGGCATCCAACCTTTTGAAGACAAAGTATTCTAACATATCATACCTGGAGCACTTGAACAAGAACGATTTGCAACGAACTGTACAAACTGTATTTTGTTGTTCATCGGAAGTGGCTTGTTTTGATGTATCACGACAGTCAGACTACATGGTTTGCGAGTGTCGTGACGGAACAATTTTGTTGTGGTCACTTCATACAGGCAACCTATTATGGAAACGTCCCGTAATTAACGAGAAACGTGTTTGGTTTGAGGAAACTGCTTTCAAAACGCTCCAGGACTTTTTTGGCCAATCAGTTTCTTGTTTCAACTCAGTTATCTTTCACCCTTCTAAAGATTTCATCTTGCCCGGAGTCTTAAGCCATGCATATACTTTTAACGGAGAACTGACACAACTTTTTCCTGAAAGCCACTGTAGGTTTTCTGTTTGTGCACCTTCTGGTGACACGATTTTCACTGACTGTCCCACCGATGCAAAGTGTCTTATTCTGTGGAGTCTGTTGAATGGCAGAGAGATAACTCGTACCGTCAGAGATAAAGATGTGCTAACTTTTGCGTTGTCTCGAGATGGGATGCTGCTAGCAGTCTCACATCGAATTGGAGGCATTTGTTTGCTTGATGTGACGAATGGTTTTAGAACTCTAACAGAAGTGGAAGGAACAATTGAAATTGGAATGATGAAGTTCTCGCCAGATCGTCGCCACCTTTATTGTTGGCATTTTTACAAGACTTGTTTAGATTCTTTTTATTTAGCTCAATCTCGTCTTTGTTACACAGTGAATAATGAAGATAATGATAATGTTTCACTTGACTTTAAGCCTGCCACATTTGCTTTCCAAGACTCACCCCCTATTTTGTTAGGCGATTCGGCGCTGACTTCTTCAGTGACAAAATCTCTTGACGTCTCTAAGATCCTCTGTAATTCATGGTTTTTGTTTGTGCTCAGCAAACAATATGTCTTAGAGAGTCATCCTAATAGGGATATTATCAAGGCGCTTTCCCTGGAAAAAGTCGCAGTAAACAGATATTCCGTCGGAGACTCTTTTGTGTTGAAAATTGTATTTTCGATTAATGGTGAGACTATATATGTTATGACACATGAGGAGGAACATGCACGAATTACAGCGTGGGATTCCTCTAGTGGAGAACTCAAGGCAGAGAAAAAAAATGTCAGTTTCAGTGATATTGAGGATAGTGTTTGTTCTCACCTTGTAGCCTTGAGAGAAGGAGTTCTTTTCACAACGAGCAAAAGGACTGCTGAACTGTGGAATCCGGATTTAACTGAGCGCATCAGATATTGCGTGTACCCTGAAAATATCACAGGAATCTTCCCTATTTCAGACGAACGCGTTGTTTTTAATTTACTTGGGATGAATGCGATCATTTTTGACACATCTAAAACTGACCAAGTATCAATACCCCTTTTTGGTATGCAACTTCTGGCGTGTAACAGTAAATCCCAGGTGGTCACCTTTTCAGGAGATCATATTCAGATGTGGAATGGTGACACCTTATTTTGGAAACGTGAGTGGCCAAGAACTATTCTTGGACCAGCTATAGTGCGGTTTTCACCCAGTGAAGAGTTTCTTGTAGTTTGGGCAGGTCTTGATTCCGAAGAGGTCTACGTTCATGATCCAACCTCAGGGAAATTGTTGCGTATTTTCGAAACAGCCGGAGATGTCTGTGAGTGTACATTTGTTGGCGACGCGGACTGTGTCATTCTTACTTTTCTTCCCCTTGGTGATGCTTGGTGCCTTCGACTGTTCAACATCCGATCTGGGGATCTCCTTTCTTTAATTGACTTAGAGACTTGGTGGTCAGGTTTAATAGTAAGTCATCCTGAGAAAGGATTGATCGCTTCTGCCCTACAAAACTACAAAACTACAAAACTACAAAACTCCGAAGACCTATTTAAAGTTATCCAGACTCGTTTGTCAGGATATAACAGAGACTCGCAGAGGAGCTTAAGGTCAGTCATTACCTATAAATCTGGCTCTGATTTAGTAGATGATTTTCTATATATTTTCTAGAATTTTTGTTACGATGAACACCTAAGTGGAGGCGTTAGCCTGCATTGCTCGCGGTTTTTTTGAAATGTTCTTTTTTTTCTCGTTTGCGGTTGAAGTTAGTAAGGTACAAAGCCGAGCAAAAGCTAAGCAGCGGTCAAACGAATAAACGACGAGGAATGGGGCGAGGAAAAAAAAAGGAGTGTGATTTTAAACCGCCTGCATTCAACCTCGTGTGATTTTTGGAACGACACCTCAACAGTTCAAGTCTTGTATGGCCTGCACTTGATGTCTGCGTAATGCCAATGTCAACCTCCAACATGTGGAAAAATAGATCTTTTATAGATACGACGGCCATATTGAATTAATTAGATTTAAAGAGTATTATGGGGAGGCCCAAGGGGCATTAGCACGATCCGATCCGATCCTCGATACTCGCTCAGTATACGCGCGCTTTTCGGGGCAATTTTTCATAAATTTTAACTAGAATGAGATTCTAATGGGAAAAAAGATCGTTGTGCCAGGTTTGCGTGTAATAATGATCGTCATTTTCCCGAGAGATATATGGTGAAAGACCATACCAGTTTCTTCGAAGGGATTCAAGGTAAACAAAAATACTAAAGTTTGCTCAAATCATTTTAATTTGGAAGAGCAGTTGACAGTCATCCTCATCTCACGCTCTTTCTGAAAGGCTATGATCGGGAAATAGTAACACGTAAGAGAAAAGCTCCCATGGACAGGCTTCCAGTACAACCAATAAGGAGAAAGAAGAAGAAGTCAGATACTGATTCTAAACAGCGAGAGAAGAAAGAAGCAATTAATATTATCGACACTCCGACGGAAAACTAGCATGGAAAATCGCCAAAGGTCAAGTAACCACGGTCTTGCGATCGCGTTTGCAGTTTGCCGTTCATTTTTGAACGGCAGGAAGGGCTACGAACGGTAAGTGACTAACGGAAAGACGTTTGGCCACTAAAAGTTCTACAGCTTCGCGTTTGAAGGCACGAAGTATCTTTTTATATCCGTCTGCGATGTGTTTGTTGGATTTTGTTACTCGAATCGATGAATTATTCCTGTTTTTTGGTCGATAAAAGTGATGCACTTCGACTTGTTGAAAAACAGCATGGCGGCACTAAACAATGAACGTCTTGCTAAAATTTGAAATCCCGGCAACGCGAAACTGCAAACGCATAACTGCAAACTGCAGTTTGCGGTTTCCCATGAAAACCCTGATGCTAAAGGTCTCTATTACATCCAAACACGGCGCAACGATCTGTTGTCCCATTACAATCTTACTCTAGGAAAACGTTAAGAAAAATTGCCCCGAAAAGCGCGCGTAAAAAGTGAGCGATTATATAGAATCGTGCACATTCCCCCCCATAACACTCCTTAAATCTAGTTAATTCAATATGGCCGCCGTATAGATAAAAAGATCTATTGATTTGAGTATTGACGCGCGCCTGATTGTTTGTAGTCTTTGTCTTTGTAATTCTCTAGGCGTTAGTATGAAGACTGAAACTCAACAAATCAACACCAGCATGGTAGGATGTTTTGCCTGCCTTACTGCACACACACCATACTGTCAGCAAAAGTGCATAGTCTCGCCCCTCTTTTTCGTTTTATCTCCCAGCTCTGTTCAGCTTTCGCGCGGCTTTGTCTCCTACTTTACTAACCACAAACGAAAGACACAGAGGCGTACGAAGTGGGTTAGGAATGTTTCTTCCTGTCCCTTTCAAAACACTGGTGAGGTTTCGCAAAAGCAGGACAGAGGAAAGAAGGTGGCAAACCTTGTGTGACAAGCGTGACAATAATTTCCACCTTTCTTTAACAAAAAACAGATTATACCTCCATCACTTTTGTCACAAAGAAGCGTTTTGTCGTCCTCTTCTTTCTGCCGTCGTGTTCAGTAGTCTGTGTAGAAACATGAGTTAGACTCTCCTACGGAATCAGTGAATTAGCGTATGCTCACGGATTGTAGAAACGTCGATCACTGTTAACAACATTCCCTTTAGGGATAGTCTCCCTCGCAGCCGTTTTGCCTCGTCACGCAACGCTCCTCCCCTATGTTGGAGAGGAGCGTTACTTGATGAGACAAAACGGCTGCGAGGGATACTACTTTTAGGACCACCCTCATCCAGGCGGCCACCCAGACAATCATACTCCACCCTTTTATGTTATCTTTAGTTAAATGAATCAGCGCTTGCTCTCATCAAGGTTAAAGGAGCATACACAGCATTGTCGCTCTCCTGGAATCCCCACTCTTCTCCCAGTGTTCCTTGCGGGTTTATTGTCATTTGCTTGTTGTTTTGTAGATACAAACCATTTACTAAGCTTTTGCTTTTCCCTGACAATAGATAGAATCAAGCTCCAGGTATGACGAGTAATTGATGATAATTGGCAGTGAGTGGCTGAATGTGGTCGCTGGTTGTAAAAGATTTCAGTGTACCAGTCAGGACTCATCAATTCCATCCCGTTACAACAAACACAAAGGGAAAGGACTGTACAGTTTTCTGTACATATCTTAGTGAACGGTGCTCTGGATAACCGCTTTTGTTTTCGATTAACTAGTGCCATGTCCATTGATTTTAACGGACGAAATGGCTAATTGATTATTAGATTGTATTTATTGATTGGCTAGTCCTCTCAACCAAAACAATTCAATGTTTACGATCGGCTTCTTTAGTTTGTACTTTATATTTTACCGACTTGCTTCCAAGCGGTTTGCGAATTTTAATAGGCTGATTTAGCAACAGAACGGGAACGTCAGTTGACGACGGGAAAGCGCGCGGAAAGTGCTAAACTCGACTTCCGGTGCCCAATTTGCCACTCTGCCATTGGTCATTCGTCAAGCCAGTTGTTTGATTTGCGCGCGCCGTCGTCAACTGACGTTCCCGTTATGTCGCTAAATCAGCCTAATAGATACAAGGGCCCGTACATGTTACAATTTTCCTAACTTTAACATGTGTGGCTGTCAGAAGCTAGCAAAACAAGAACAAGTGTTTTGGAGCCTCATGGGTTGTTTTACCGACAGTTTATAGTTGGTTCTTTTGAACTGAAGCTTTGATGTACAGTGTTCACATGTGTGTTGCTATGGTTGATCTTAGAAACGTCCGTAGAATTTTAAAAAGTTGCTGGACGTGGATGGGACCGACGTGTTTTTATGAGCTCCGACATGCCCACATAAAACAACCTCTTTTATAGTTTGAAATAATCTATAATGCCTCCTAGCTAGATTAACGCTTTAGTTATAGTTGAACCTCTCCTCAGAGGCCACCTTGGGGACAGAAGAAAGTGGACGTTGTAGAGAGGTTTAAACAAGGGTCACTGTATGGACTGTCCGCCAAGAAAAGTGGACGTTAGTAGAGGTTCAGCTGTAATTTCTAGGTGGTTTTATACCTCGCAGAAGTAGTTTTGTCTTTTTTCCTCTCTTTCTTTGTGGTATAAAATAAAGACCAATAAAGTTCTTGTCTTGCCTTGTTAGATTATTCGGTTTGACCTTTGATTTTTCCCAACTTGGTAATAATATAATAATAATAATATAATATAATATTTAATATAATAATAATAATAATAATATTTAATATTTATTGATTTGTATTGCGCAAATATCAATCCAGGGAAAGAAATTTTCATCTGCGCATAACATTGACTCAACAAAATCCTAAAATCCTATTACATATTCCAAAAATTAACGAAAAAAAAGTCTTATTTAGAGATCGTTCCTAAAAATTAGTAAAAATAACAATTTAAAAATAAAAATTAATCTTTAAAATCCTATATACAAATCCTTCTTAATAAAGAGAATAAAAACAATAACTTAGCTGGGAAACGCCTTCTGAAATAAATGAGTTTTAAGAGCCTTCTTGAAAGCATTAACTGAAGATATATTTCTAATAAAAAGGGGAAGATCGTTCCATAATTTAGGGGCAGCCATATAAAAAGATCGATCACCAAGCGTGGAAAGAGACTTGCATGGTGGAATGTTAAGAAGTTTGCCGTTATTTGATCTGAGGTAGTACCTACTCCCTGTGTCTTTCGGTAATATATAGATTTAGCCAGGGCTAAAAGCGAAGCTCTCTTTAATATTTATGGATTCCTCAAAGAAAATATAAAATCGATGAATACTAAAGACAAGTTGAAAGCAACGAAAACGCTAAAAACAACAACAATAGATCTAATTAGCAAAAAAACAACTTTGCACGTGCAGCACACTTTTTTTCTAATTAGCAAAAAAACAACTCTGCACGTGCAGCAGTTTTTTTTTTTGTACATTTCCTTACCGTTGTTTTACACGACTAACGTGAAACTTCTTTTAGCTTCCTATTTACGCGTTTTATGGGGGAAATGTTTGTGTTCCTGTTCATTCTATTTTTTCACTGCCGCTGCTTTTTCACATTAGTAGCCGCTAGCATTCTTCATTTTCTAACCGCCGCTATATAATTTTCATGTTTTTCTTCCAGCGGCATTAGTCTCCGTTGTTATTTATTTCACGGTCCTAACAAGTGTGACACTTGACATCGGCTTACATGAAGTGTGTGTACGGGTGGGCGGGCGGGCGGGCGGGCGTACGCTACGTCATAACCAAATTTTATCGGATGGATAGTTTACCAAATTTTCTTACCCATGGTGCTCCGCTGGCGCGCTTCGCGCGCGAGAGCTCCGCTAATACAAGTTCGGAAATGTAAGTCGGAGCAAGTTTATGAATGGCCTTAAAAGTTAACAATAAAATTTTAAAAACAATTCGATATGCTACGGGTAACCAGTGTAGGGCTCTGAGCAATGGTGTAATATGACAAAATTTACTT